GTTGCACTGGCCATACCACTCCTTGTAGGAGGAGTAACAGAGACCTTTTAGTGGAGGAGGAGTTATCATCAGATCTACACTAAGTCACACTCACCTCCTGAAGTTTACGAGTAGGATAGACACAGTCTCCAGCAATTTTCAGCTGCTGGACACCATGTTGCTTGAGAATCGGTCTGGGAACTTTGGTCTTCAATTTCGGAACAATCGATTTTGGCACATACCAAGTGACGATGAAGGAGCCAGGACGAACTTCGGCAATCATCATGGCACACTCTCTCAGGTTGTAGTGAGAGGCATACTCTTGTCGAAACTGCTCCACATCTTCCAGTGTCACATTCTCCTTCCACTCAAACTCGCGATTATGATGTGGAGCAGACGTTCGCGTGGGTCTGTATACCGTGCGTGTATGTATGGCTTCTACTTCGTGAAGTCGTAAAATCCGCCGAACGTGGACGGCCTTACGTTCCCAAGTAGTATTGGTCGATTCAAGCGGTCTTACTGTTCACTTGCGAATTTTCTCAGAAACGGATTTGCGCCAGAAACAAGGCCAAAGGATGTACCATGCCCAGGGACCTGGAGTTATTCTACTTCGCATTTTTTCTTATGCGTGGCAGAGCAAAAAAGATCTTGGTTATTATGATACGCAATTCTTCATGTAAGTTTGATAACGTAGCTATGTGTATGTGTAGCTGTCACTCTTCGGCGATCTTCATGCGCTTTGTAGGGGGTTGTGCGGCGACATGACTGGGTAGGCTTTTCAGAAGGTGCTCTGTAACTACCCGTCGTAGCCTCTCCACGCGGTCGTGGCGCTGGTTTCCGGTGCCTTTGCTCTATCTTGTTGACTGCCCCATCCCACACTTGCTGCTCCAACTACTTTCTTCCCACACCTCCTGCAGCAGACCAGGAGTGACTCGAGGAGCTTCAGCAGCGCAGTGAGGTGGGAGGATGTACTCCAGTGTGATGGTACATGTACATGTTGCACCCCATGCACAGACACATGATGTGCAGCAGGCGGATCGAGAGGCAGGATGGGTGTGGGGCTGTTATTATAACCTTCGGCGCGCATGCGCAGCAAGGGTTACCGCTGAGATATCGGGGAGTCGAGTGTATACACGTGTGGTGCAGTCCGTTACCCATCGAGGCTCCACAAAAATACCACGTATTCAGCGTCGGGTATAGGTCCAAAAAAATAATAGTGGGGTTTTCTGCTGCGTTCGAGAGTTATGGCGTGAAAGACGAGCGAAAAAGCCAATAGCACGCTAAGAACGGGCTTACCTCGAGCGGGTCCGGGTGCTCTGTGTATCTCGAAGGCACAAGAAGTCGACATCGAAGGGCGTGCATCGACTCCCGCAAGCTATCTACTGCTGTAGCTAGCCCGTGTCAGACTCTCCGCGAGCTACAAGCGGGAGACCACGCACGAGTTGCCCAGCCCATCAATTAGCGGTACTGAGTTCGCTGAGGGTTTGCACTTTAGTGCTTTTTCATTGACTTTGTAACTGAATTCTGTAAAAAAATCATAATTCCCCATTATCTTTAATGCATGCCTGTAATTTATTGCCAGTGTGTTAATTATTTGAGTGCCTTTTCCGGCCAATCAAATGTTTGACAACCAGAAAACCAATTCACGATTGTATCTAGTAAGTTTCTAAACTCTAACACACTTGTGCTGTTTTCCGAGTCTGCTACGTATATATAACTGCACACATGTATATACTAGTATGTGCTTGATATATAACTGCACACATGTATATACTAGTATGTGCTTGGTCTGCAGTTGTGTTTTTCTGCACTTCTCACACAACTCACTGCAGTGGGATCCACCACCAAAAACATTAGAAAACAGATCTATGAAACCAAAACCACATCATAGTACACTAATTTGGCTCTCCTCGAGCTAACAGCTGGTGACTAACCCTCTTAGAGGTGTCTGTGTGTGAGGGTAGACCATGATCTTGCATCTAATGCACTCCGGCCCCATGTCCGCCCACGAGTTACCACTGTTCCACGGGCGGTTGCACTTTGGACAACAAAACTCCCCAACACTCTGTAAGTTCCTTGATATGGAGTTTTTGGGAATTGAATAATACGCTGTATTAGTCACGTGTTGCTGCTAATGAGTTGATGCCGCTTATATAGCTCATCTTACATTGTTCGTATCTCTCTCTGTCTCATTCTACTCTTAATACTACTGCCAAAAAGATTCAGAGCCTTTATATACAACGTAGTATATTCCATGAAAGTACCATGGTCTGTATTCATAACCATACCAAGAAGATATACATACGTTTGGTGCAGAGTACATGCCAATGTGTGCTGTGTAGTTCTTAGAACCATCCCCATGAGCATTCCGCTCGACCCTCTGAACCATCACGTGTGCTTATAGTCATGATCATTATGCATTCCTTTTAACACAATCTCCATTATTTTCATGCACCTAAAGGCTAACTTATCATTCAGCTACACAGTTCATGTTTTCATAAGAAGTATTTTCAACTGAGTTCAAAATCTTGTTGGACGACAGCAGTGTCCCAGACTCATGCACTTTTCGCACAGATCTTGACGATGGGGCCCTCTGTCGGAATTGTCATCAAACTTGTCTGGCCTGTGCGGAAAAATTAAGCAGTAATCAAAGCACTAACAAACATGTTTATTGGTAGAGGTAGCAGTGGGACAAGCAAAAGAGCCACCCACCCTTCTGTTATGCCCAGCCTTAACTAAGCTTGAATCATTCTAGATTAACCTTTGTGCCCACCCCTATAATATTTCAATCTCGACTATATTTGTATAATATACCTTTGTAAAGCCGTCTGTGTGTGAGGGTAGACCATGATCTTGCAGGTCATACACTCCTGGCCCATGTTGGCCCACGAGTTACCACTGCTCCACGTTCGACCACACTCTGGACAACGGAACTCTCCAAACACCCTTTCAGGCCCTTGGTGCGGGGTTATCTGTGAAACGCACCAGGAGCATAAAAGAGCCGTTTACTTATACCTATGTACCACCAACATTCTCGAGAAAGCTTACTACTCTACCACAAATATTCTGTATGCACGGTACAATAATAGTATAGTGCAGTACCTGAGAACTCATGTCCTTCTTTGAAGATTAGCGTTTGACTTGCTGGAAAAAAACCTCTCGTCTGCTTTTCTGTGATGATAAGCCAATTGCTTCCCCTTATATAATCCCTCGGGTTCTAATACATAGGGTATTGAGGGTTAAAATTACCCAGGGGGAGATTACCAGGGAACTACCGGCCATCGTGACTCTGCAATCGTTTTTGTATACTATAGAAATTATACACGGTAAGTGTTGTTTCCGCTAAATGCCACCCCAATACGGTATGTATGTTACGTATTGGATAATGTCGCTAGTTGCTCTGTCACTCTCTAAACATTGTTCTATGAATGGGCGCAGCTGTTGACAGGTAAAAGGGAACCCACCTAGTGATACCCGGGGCCAGACCACATGCCGCTGTATTGAGACTGTATGGCAAACGTTATATTCATCACTGAGTGAGCTATGATTATAGACCAGCCACAAATCTAGCTTGAAATCATGAATATACACAAAAGCTACTTGGAAGTGCAAGTTCATGGTATATACTACGACTGAAATTCACGTAAAACTTTATTTTTCTCATCATTGAACCTAGAGTGAATATGATGCTGGAAGCTCATGTTCCACTAACTGGAAGCAACTACGTAGAACACTGTCTTATGGATGATTCACTGCAGCATTTTCTATGTCACTGAATCACATGCATATTATGTGTAGCACCCGTACTGTATGTATACAGACCATTTACTCGTTATTGATTATGTAATGTTACCATCTCATTCGTATAAAAAGTGTATGCACGTGGATGGTAATCAGATTTGAGACTCTGCCAGAGTCACAGAGAGATGAGCATTGCCACGTGCAAGGCTGGTCGTGCCACACATGCATCCTACAACTCAAGGTCAGTATCACAAAAAATGGCACAAAAGATGGCACAAAAGATATAATACAACAGCGTGGCACAGCCGGGTTTTTTTTCCACTGCATCCTACAATGCATGCATATAGAAAATTTCACACAAGGTATAATTATACAACAACTGCAAAGTGGCACACATGATGTTAAAAGTTAGTTTCTTAATGACAATGCATGAAATAGTAGCAGCTGTGTATCATTGTCTCTGACGTCGTGGCTGCTGTGTGAGCAGTCGGCAGGAATACTCCAGTTCCTCACACATACCACACAGGTCCATGAGGTGAGGCTTTTTCTCCTTCTTAGTAGGTCTGCAGCAAGAGAAAGATACATTATTCTAGGATACTGCAAATTATGCTCTATGATGGACAATGTCAATAAAATTAAAAAAAACATCCACCTAAATCAAAACCACTCATCTTGAACACAACACACAATACTTGGACAATTTGGGCTATGTATGATGTAGATGACATGCACCACGATGTTAACTCACCTTTTGAGAGGCCTCTGAATGTGAGGGTAGATCATCCTCCAGCAGCGCTTGCACTTTTGTCCCCTGTTGGCCCACGAGTTCCCACTGTTCCAAGTTCTCTTGCAACTTCGACAGCAGAAGTAACCAAATGTTCTGCGTCTGCCTTGATATGGAGTTTTCTACAGGAGGTAAGGCACAATGTCCATGGTGAAACTAGTATATACCGTGTAGTTTAACTAAAGAGGGTCTCTAACCTTAGAGTGAGAGCTCATCTTTTCACTCTTTTGTGAAACTGTGAAGATCCCAGGTTTTCTCCTTTTATACCTATTGCTAGTGCAATTTTTTATGTACATTATGTGAGATTACATACGGTCGCAGGTATAGTTTGTTTTGCTGTGTCACTTAAGTATGAGTGAGCAACATTCCTTTTAAAGCATGTACGTACTGCCAAATACCTAGATATTTGGGGCAGTCCCATGGTATGGGAGAGCCCCAGAACTGGCAGAGTTGCTGAGTATAATATAGTGGTCTTTGGATAAAACCTCTGCTGCATCACATCACCATTACGTGTTGCAGAACAATTCCATATGATAGTAATTTTTAAGGCAGGTCATATAACAGTCATCTTCTAACCTCTACAACTGCTTAGTAGTCTCAGTCGTGCACAATGGACCTGCACATGCTCTGACCCAGCCACGTAGGGTTCCCAGATCATGTTAGAGCCTGCTTCAGTGGTCTCTGAAATCTGATTTTTCAGTCACAGGAATACTGATTCACTTCGTATTCCTCTGACAGACGACTTCTACATAATATTATAGTCAGAGTCTCTTATGTGTAATAAACCTGCTCAAAACCTGCATATGGCGAGCAATTTTTATAGCATCTGCATGAGTGTGGTGCTCGGCTGGTTCTGTGGTCTTGATGGAACAATTTTACAACAATTTGGATACAGGACTAGCTACATGCACATAACCACACTAGCATTTTTACTCTCTACTATAATTATGTGTTGGCTTCAGATCAGGACCAAGAGTAGCCGTAGCACATTAACCATCACCAAGGTGTATTCATCCAGATCATGTGAATTCTTTATTGGCCATATAGTGCTGTTCATTTACATCCACACTCAGTCACTGGTCCAGCAAAGACAGTAGCTAAAAAGATGTAACCAGCAGAAAGCACGCACGTGCAAACCGAATAGGTGATGCAGTAGAAGGTGAATATTCGAGTAGTCCTATTCCTCCTTCAGCTGCATCGCCACGGCTGTTTCACGCGCTCACTTAGTTTAAGCGCGCATATGGAAATCATCGCGCCTAGTGCGTAACCGCCCCCTACATGAAACCTGCACGAGTCAACGCTTGGTTGCTGCCGCCTCTACTGGGAAAGAAGCGACAGCCAAAGCGCTTCCTTCGCCCATATACAGAGTATAACCCTTGTGGATACCTGCAACAACTTCGCACTGGCGAGAGCCGGCTTCGTTTTGTACTGCGCATCGGAAGTACAAGCGTATACAAAAAAAAACAGGTTCATGTTCGTAGCCCTGCACCACCGGCGAGGCATTTTTTATAAGTCAGAAACACGCCTGGAGAAGTGCTTCGGTCTTGTAGGAAGTTGAATAAGCCTGTCAGAACTCGGCAAGCACGCGACATCGGGGGCTACTGGAGCGTTTGTAACCCCCATACTATGGCATGAATACCGTTAGAAAGAGCCTGGTATCCCCTGCCCAGCGCTTTGTTACGCTTCTGGCTCAAGAGGAGATAGAAAGGAACACTGTAAAACATCTGTAGTGATTTCAAAATAGTCATTGACATGGATAGCTACAGAAACCATGACGTGAGCCCATGTCGGCCATGATACAAAGTGTAAAGTGAAACATTGGGTATAACAGAACAACTTGCAATATACATTCTGTGACTATTAGTTCAGAAGACGCTGAACATGAAGTTCAGCAGCAAACCTACACTCCTTGAACTCAGCGTGGATGTTTGTCGACGAAGGAATGAAGTACCACATACTGTGCAATATCGATGTGTGTCGACGAAGGAATAAAGTACCACCATACACTGTCCAGTACTAGACAGAGACATGGAGCACACACATTATAAACAAACATACTACACAAAGCTGGAGCTGAAGACTAAAAGTAGTTTGAAAGTCAGCTGCAAAAAGGAATCTGGAGAATACAGGTTGTGGAAGATAGAGATGAGTCAGTTAACTGTACACAACCTACTTGAAGAATGCTCATGACATTGTTCTTCTTGGAGAGACAGCTCTGACTGTTCCTAGAGCACCACGGGACGGTGGAAGGCAAGGTGGAAGGACAGGGGGATAAAGCGGTAGCATCCCACTGTTTCTTGTATAGGCCGTCATTATACACGTACACATCAATATATGGCCAGATTATGACCAAGAATACCGCCTTCGCAAGGATGCTTGCCGTCGCATACAGTTACCATCGTCTAAAACGCACCAGCTGGTCGTCTGGCTGCCTTTTTCAAGACCTCCAGCTGCACGTAGCGTTTCAGGCTTGAATCTGCCCATTCGCGTGCGCAAAGCGCCGCGAAAAAGCCATAGGGCCGTTGCCAACGCCCGTTGCTACGGAAATTTTATGATTACGTAATGATTCCGTGACGTCACTAAGTTGGTCCGGAATTGAAACAGCCGTGATCGATCGCATGGCTGTGCGTGCGTGTGCAGTGAGCGCATACGCATGCGCACTATGGGAGCTGTGCGCGCGAGCTCCCGCGCGCGTTGCGAGTTGGAATACGGACACAGCAAAGTTTTCCCGGTTGTATTCCATTCCAATTACTACTCTCTTGTTGTCTTTTCACCTCCCATACGCCACTGTCACGATCGACCTCAGCACTAACAACTGGTCCAGTGTAGCAGCAGAAATGTGGTATAGTGTGTAGCAGTGTAGCCGAGACGGACGGCGAGCCAGAAGAACAAGAACTTATAGTGTGTCGCGGACGAAACGAAATCTCAACTCTTACCCCAGCAACAACAGCTATAGAGCAGCAGAGGGACTACCGGAGTTGATGAAACATGGCCCAGGTATGATGTGCCGTGTGTATAGGACTTGCTATAAAAAGCCCGTGGTCGAGCTGAGACTTGTACAGCCATTTTATACGTTCGTGTGTGTCTAGTGTTGGGCTGTTTACTTGGAACGGGATAGAGGTATTCATTTTGAACTAAAAGCGGTGTAGCTAAACGTGATCTGCTTGTGTGTTCTACAAAATTCAGCACAGAGGTCTGTGTGTTGGCAATAGAGGTGTAGTGTTTCAGTTTGTATGGTCACCAGATATACAAGTTGGTAATTGGGGGCCCCCTGTTGCTATGCAGGCCAGGCACGCTGGAGTCCTGTGCAGCCGAACTGTTTCAGTTACTCTACACATTGCCACAGTGTCCTCTGGCTTGTCTGCTACAGATTTAGAGTTGCAAGACCCAGTGTAGTGGCTAGTGTGGGGACACAGGACGTGGTAGTACTAGAAATGGTGGTCCTGTACTGTACAGTATGATGGCTGTCTGTAAACGTTGGTCCAGTGGGGTGGTGTTTTGATAGGGAAGGGGGGAGACGGAGTGAGAGGGAGGAAGAGAAAGAGGTATATACATACAAAGGGGGAGAGTGATAGAGATGAAGAGAGAGAGAGAGAGAAAAGGGGGAGTGAGGAGGGACAAACATGTTAGTGGGAGGGAAGAATTGTACATCACACTAGGGCAAGATTAGGATCATTGCCCATACACTCTGAGAGGCCACAGTATTGGCATACACATGGACCAAAGAGTCTTTTACATCCTACAGGCCCATTACTACCACTGCATATCATGACAAACCTAATGAAAAGAAAAGAGCATTTTAGTACATAATGGATCCATGTGCTGTGCACATGTTCCCCTCTAATAATTGCAGCTTTTGGATTTGTGTGCATAAATTGTGAATGGTCACAATGGCTGTTATTTCGTTAGAGTCTGCATGTTTTGACTGGGGTTGAATGCATGCCTATGCCTTCTCTCCTGCATCTCAGTGCTGACGGCTCATACTATCATCTGTGCCTCTCTAGTAGTGTTGGTAGAGTCAAAACTATAGGCACTTAGCTGCAAGTATGTGTACATATTGTATGTGTAAGCGCTGACGAGGATAGCTTTTCTCTATAGGAACAGCAGGGGAGGAGCAGTAGCCTACAAGTATAGAGTAAAGCTGTATGTATGTGTAGAAGTGCCTGAATGGGTAAAGTTTGATTACACGCCGACTGAACACTCAAACTATAGCTGGTCATTGATACCCGTACATAATGTGCCCTGAAACCGAAGAACCTCAACTGAGGCCTACATTATTGTTCTACAGTCTACATTCAGATATACGTATGGGTACTTGTTGGTCTCAAACTGCCCAGACACCAGACATTCAAGTGTATTGTGGTAATGTAGTGAGTGTCACGCATGCTGTTCTGGTAGCCATTCAAGGCCTAAAGAATGCAGATCTGGTGTCCCGTGATAATTGGAACTACGGTTATAGCGAAGCATGTGCTAGTCAGTAGGTAAATGGGGCCCTCCAAATATGACAGTCCACCATGAATAATATGCACTTCTTTGCTTCGAGAGGGAACTATGCTAATGTATTTGGTGCTACATCTGTAACATGGAAGGATGCTTAGCCACGTGCATGTAACAACCACTTTTCTATGGGCCTTAACCAGCAAATGATGATGTAGTATGAAGCTATAAACCTCAGTAAAAGCAGTGAGCTGTCAACGTCAATGTTTGCGGCACGTTGATGTGCCCATGCAGGGTGTTGACTACTTGTGTCACTCTGTGTATATACAATGTGTGTGCGTATGAGAACCCTCCCTCTTGTAGCGTGTAAAATGCAAACTGAAGATTTCCTGAAAATGTTATTTTACACATCACGTACAGGCATTTTGTGTACTCGTGATCTTGTGTTTCTGAAAAACTCGCCCAGTTGGGCTACCATGTTGCGTAGCAGTGTCAATAAATGGACCTACGTACAACAAAACGGACTGCTGTGTGTATGATGTTACATTACTGGGGAGTGTGTATATAGTGTGTTGGACATGAGATCATTGGGTGTAGGATGGATCTTGATTTCACCACCTAATGTTTGTGTACTGAATGACACTGTACATTTCGCTGCAAGTGCACGTCTAATGTACGCAGGATGTCCACATGTGTGCGGTGTGTATGTTTTCACTGCACATACATACACTGGAGTGTACATTTGTATGTGTAACCTTGTAATTATAGCGAGGTTGATGGGCTATACATTTATGTACATTACTAGAGCAACGGGACAATGTAGTATAATGGTGGATGGCGTGTGTATTGTTAGTAGTACAGTGGTGCAGTATGCATAGCTATGTAGCTCTGGATGGTTGAGTGAACTGATCACAAGGGAAGGGTGTAGGAATCCCACGTCTGTACATGTCAGATCTTAGAGTGTTCTCTTGGCCTAGTCTCATAACTATGCTGTACTAGCAGTGCCTTTTTGGTGAGTTGGAGTGGGCTAACAGCTACATAGGGCATAAGACAGACGATGCATTAACAAAAATGGTGTACCCATAGCTATGTACATATGTACAGCAATTCACAACAGCCATGACCAAATTAAACTAACAGCATATTTGGGCGGTATCTCCATTCACCTTCATACGTGGCGACTATGACCATTCGTCTATATTACACTCAGTTACTGTGTGTTCTCCACTGTCCACTGCTATGACTGTGCTAGACGTGTTGAGTTACGTATTTGGCTTATGAAAATAACCGCATATTTGTCACTCGTAGGTTAGATTTCATCGTCCGCTATAACATGTTACTTTTTGCTTAAAACTCATGCATTATAATTGGGGAGTGAAGCAAGCCCACCTAGTCCTCTGAGCCGTGAGCTTTTGACCAACCATGCACCACCTCAATGCGCATGCACAAATATCACGTGCAACGGTCGCTTGCCATTGTAATTGTTCATGTACTTCACTGTCTGTGTAATACTTCACCTTGCCACTGGGCCAAATGGCACATTCTATACTGTTGTAGTAGTACGTACTGTACTGTACTGTACTGTATTGCCATTAGAGTGTGTGTACTACAGTCTCTCAGATGTTCACACGACTTGGGTTCTTATTGTTGTTGGTGGCAAGAAGCCAGGGAAATGGTGGGAGGACAATTACGCTGTATTTAGGGCTGCATGCTCCTGGGGGGTGGCAACACAACTGCAACTGAACCCAGGACGGAAATGAGCTGCTCTGGGTGCGACTCGAACCCACGACACTCTGCTCTCTAGGCAAACTGTTCTACATGCGTGTGTATATTTCTACATGCGTATAGACATGTATATTTCTACATGCATATAGACATGTATATTTCTACATGCGTATAGACATGTATAGATTTCTGTATGAATTGATTGCCAATGTGCATATTATATGTATGTACATGTGTGAGTTGACTTGTACCACAATGACTCTGTACGGCCGTGGCATTTGTCTCGTCGGTGTATATCTCATTATGCGTCTTGAATGCAGCAATTTACCATGTCTGTATAGGTCTTTGATGACAAATTAGTTACCCAAATTTGTACTAAAGGTTACATGTCCCCCATGTGTAGTACGTATGTACACACCCTTCTTACTCCCTCCCTCCCTCCCTCCCTCCCTCACTGTCATACACCTTGCAAGTGTATACATTTCCCCCCTACTCCATTCTGGGTCCCTTTAGCATTTCCCTCCCTTCCCCTCCAGTCCCTCACACCTACCCACCCTCCTTTACTCCTCCACAATATACTGCATACTTTGCCTAGGGTATATACGTAGCTCCTTTCAAGTGCTCACTTCATGCTCAGTACAACCACATCAGTATATTTATGAGCTTTATTCAAAGGTTAAAATGCGGTGGGTGAGGTTGTGTAGGGCCCACAGTATGGGGAATCTCAAAGAACTGGTCCACAAAGCTACGTACTGTATACAGCTGTGTGTGCAGAGAGTAGCAGAGAGGCTCAATGAAGCAGTGTAGCCGGCACATATAACCTGTACAAGACCGTGGTAGTATGAGAGAGTTACCTCACCGTTCCTTCTCAGCTACATACATACATACACATCAAGCTGAACACTGCATAATGTGTAGCACGAGTGATAAAAATAGGGCCATCTGAAGTCTGTGGGTGTGGCTATTTCTACAGGGAGTTTCCTACTCACATTATGTATGAAATATTTCACCTACACATTCGTATCATAGTCCCATATTTGGGTGTTTCTTGTCATGTAAATATTGATGTACTGTAGAACACACGGGAGTGACTAGTCTGTGAGGTTGGCTCCGTAGACTGTTGTTTGGCTTATAGCTACGTACGTATGTTTTAAGCTGCCTCCTCTCTCCTCCTTTTCTCTCGTCCTTCTCGCTACTTTTCCTTCCTTTCCCTACCTTCATCCCTCCTCTCTCTCCTAACCCCTACCGTCTACAGGCCCAGCAGCAGCAGGAGTTACGTCTCCATTGTCTGGTGGTGGGTGCTGGAAGGCTGGCCAAGAAAGACCTCTTTGGACTCTGGTCAGTTAGACTCCATGCATTATCTCAATTCTGCCTCAGACAACAAGCCACTCATGCATGTCCTCTGGTGTACATGTACAATGTCAAGAGTCACACGGTGTACATAGCCCAGTTTTCTATTGTGGAATGACCCAATACTGTGTACAGTCTGTGCTATCGGGGTTAATGTAATGCGGCTGCTATGTATGTAAGCCATGCTTGTGGAGTGTGGGCGTGGAGTTTTGTCTTTGCATATATAGTACGTAGTTACAGTACATTGCTACATTCAGCCCCACCACATGTCAGTAACATGTCACCACATGTCAGCACATGTCAGCAACATGCAACGAGCTGAGGTGTAGCAAGGCGCATTACATGTCTTTTTTGTGTACTTCATTCCCCCCCTCTCTCTCTCTCTCTCTCTCTCTCTCTCTCTCTGGTTCTAGTGATCCGTATGCCAAGATCACTCTCAGGAGAGCTGGTACTAAGTCAGTAGCATCTTATCAGACCAAGACCAAGAAACGGGTTTGTGAATATTCATACAATAAAACTTAACTCTAGTTCCATTTGTACGTCACATCTATTTTTCACGCGTGATTAAGTCAGCATAGGTATAATTATACTGTAGCAGTGATGTTTATATAGAATGTATACACCTGCAGCTTTTTTGATGCTATGGTTATGTACTGTATATCCTACTTGTGTATGGAGGCTCTCTCTTTCCCCTTCAGACTCTAAACCCCTCCTGGAATGAACTGTTCGTCTTCGATAAGGTACATATACATATGAACATACACACATTCTGGTCACAAAACTCACACAGTACAGTATACAGGTCATAGTCTACTACCAAAGAGACTGCTTCAGTTAGCTCTGAAATGGTTTCCAAACTAGCATCTTGTTCCTCGGTCCTCTGAGCTCACTCAGACTTGCTCAAAGAGGAGCTAGAGCGTCCCCAACCGTCATTAATCAACAAAAAGCAGGGGCAGCTCATTTTGTGAGTGTCTGGATTCTGTTGTGCCTGCATGCTGAGGCTGAGGCTATAAAGTTGGCTCACCTGTTTGTTGGGGCAATTTCTCATCAGTTCCCAACCGATTGCTACAGCCCCCAACTGAAGTCAATGTAGTGTAGCACCAACGTATACTGTACCATATACACCCTGTGCTTTGTGTGTACATAGCTATGTATGTACATATTACTACAGTATGTGCTTTGTGTGACTATAGCTACATGACTGTACATAATGGTATGTACCGTCTGAGATAATGTGCTATGTGGGCTATTATGCTGATGATATCACTATTTTGGTTGTGTAAGGAGAGTCATGTGCCGTTGGAGTTGCCTTGTTGCACGTGTATTGTGTGGGTCTGTATGAGGTGTGGTGTCGGTTGCAAGCCATAAATATTGTTGAGTTGCCATGTTTATGAGAACTGCGGGCATGGCTGTTTTGATGTGTTTATTGTGGTTACCTGTGCTTCTCCCTCCTTTCTCTCTCTTTCTTGCCCTCTTCTCTCTCTCACCCTCTCTTCTTCCCTTGCCCTCTTCTCTCTCTCTCACCCTCTCTCTTTGCCTCCTTCCCCTTCTCTCTTTCTCTTCCTCTGTCCCTTCTTTTCCCCTCTGCCTACCTCTCTCCTTCCCTTCCTCCCTCTCCCTCTCCCCCCTTTCTTTCCCTGTATCCATTTCCCACCCTCTCTCCCTTTGTCCGCTCCTCTTGTATTCTCCCCCCCCCCCTTCCTCCTCACCCCAGGTGGTGCCAGAAGAAAGTGTTCTAATGCTAGAGGTGTTTGATGAACACAGAATTGTAAGCCGGCCGGCCGGCCTACATGTATATAGCACTGCGTCATTCCACCCCAATCGTCGCTGTACACATAAACAATTACCCCCAAAGCCTTCTTTTCCCTGTTGATAATTGAGCTGGTATTTAGAATTAGTGGCTGAAAGTCGAAATGGGATTTCGTTACCCAACAAAGGATAGAAAATTTACTGCACCTGTCAGTGAAAAGCATGAAGCAATTATAAGCAGTTACTCTCTGATGCCACCCAAATGTGATGCCTCTGTCCACTTGCTCTCTCTCTCTCTCTCTCTCTCAAATTTTGCTGCAGACCAGAGATAATTTCCTGGGCCGTCTCCTCTTCAAATTACACCAAATACCCATTCCTGTGAGTGACCTTGGGCTGTACACTTTTTCTCTTCCTGTTATGCCTAAAGTTCCACTCGATAAAGTTTGCCAGCACTTGCAATGTACACGAGATATGGTTGTAAATTGTCAACTCAAGATTAATCTGTACATACCTGGAAATACCGAAGTAGCACTTGCAAGCTTAGTTATTAATCTTAATTGTCATAAAGGCCTCAGTACATGAGATATGGTTGTAAAATTGTCAACTCAAGATTAATCTGTACATACAACCTTGAAATACCGAAGTAGCTATAAACACACGTTTGAAAAACGATAGGCTTTTGTAGTACGTTATGCGCATGAAAAAATATGTTTCTAGTCAGCTTGCTGACGTCAATTAATATACCTGCAAAACATGTAGAGGTTTTGGCAAGACACTTACTCTGTACATTAAAATCTGTGGTTCTTCTTTCTGTTTGGCAAATGTCCATCTCTACTGTGGCTATGCAGTTCATCGTCCAGTAACTGTGATAATGTTGTACTTAACCCTTCTCTTCCCAGAGGAGAAAGGTGGACATAGGTAACCAGGAGATTGCCTCTGTCACCTACCCTCTCAAACAAAGGAGGTGAGCATTTTTTAGAGCTAGAAGCTCTCTCTCTCTCTCGGTACAAATAATTATAGCAATTAACGAAATGGAATCTATAAGTAGCTTCATTGATAACCAAATACATGTCATGTACATGTACATGCATGTGTCAACTAACGTGCGTGGTAAAAAGCAAAGGCACAACAAACAAGTCAACTACAATGTACAGGGGAAATCACAAGCACAGGTACATGTACATGGTATAAAATAGGGAGTAGGCAAAGATCCAAGCTTGTAGTAAACTTTCTACACATTGTACGTCATGCATGTGTACCTTCATGCACATGGTTATATATGCAAAATAGAGAGTAGGCAAAGTTCCATTGAAGGTCATGTGTATATTTGTTGGATATCCCTAAGCAACCGACATGTATGAAGCTACGTACTACTGGGGAGTTTTATGAGCACATATACAATGTAAGTTGGGTTCATTCATGTCGGTTGCTAGGGATATCCAACAACAGGGCTCATGCTGTCCTGTCTGGGCACTGCAACATGTATATACACCCCACCCACCCTCTTTCAGCCGTAGGTCTAAAGTGAGTGGAACTTTGTCTCTCAAACTGCTCTACTACAATGACCCTCCAGTCCAGCAAGTCAGCAGGCCCAACATACTCGGTCAGTACATACAGTATGTACAGTATACACATACGTACAGTGGATGTGTACAGTCTGAACCTATAGATAGATAGCACTTTCCACTGTTTGTGGCTGGTGCATGTACAATGCCTTTTGTGAACTACAATAGAACTCTTCGTTGTAATGGAAAGTGAAATTCACTAGGCATAAATAATATAGAGCTCTAGTATCTTCAAATACACTGTCTGCCTGGAGTATAATACTATCCAGCTATTGCAGTTCTTTACTGGACCCGTCCATTCCCTGAGATTTCCCGCGTTTTACGTCCACACCTGAATGTTATTTTCTCTCTTGTTTAGCGGATTTGGTGCCGGGGGCAACAGGCCACTCCCCTACTCAGAGTCACAACAGGTCCTTCGACTCATCACATAGACAAACAGTGAGACCACCTAATGCACTACATATATACAGCAGCCTTGTGTGTTGCTAGAATCTCTATAGAGCCCTACCATCTGAAGTACTACATATATACAGCAGCCTTGTGTGTTGCTAGAATCTCTATAGAGCCCTACCATCTGAAGGTTGTATGTGCACACGGTTGACCTTGACACTCTCTGCGTCTATAGTGTTACACTTTCTTGTCTATCTCACCCTTCTCTTCCTCTCGCCCATTTTCATGTGTTTTTTACACGTAACGTGTAGGCCTACCGTCTACATGTTTGGTACACATACTCTTTCCAACTGTCATTACTCCGTCCCTCCATCCCTCTCTGCAGAGTGTGGCAGCTCTGCCAGAGGAGGAAGACGATGACCAGCCGTTACCGGATAGGTGGGAGGCGAGACAGGATGCCAACGGGCGCACGTTCTACGTGGACCACAGCAACAGACACACGCAGTGGCATAGACCGACGGCCGCGGGGAACCAGAGACGAGTGGTGGCAGAGAGAGAGGCCGAGAGGAGACGTGCCATGGCACACACCCTCGCCCGACGCAACCCTGCCTTGGAGGTGAGGGGGGCTGGAGTAAGAGAGAGAAAGAGAGGGCAGGGAGGCAGGGAGAGAGAAGAGGTGCATGTCATTGGCGAGTGGGAGCGAGCTAACTTAGTGGACCGAATGGAGCGATTTTTCTATTATATGTACGTCCGTACATCGTTCAACTGCGCATGCGTCAGGATTTACATACGCACTTTTTATATGAAATCATTTCAACATTTTTACACGCTCCTGTACATCATCCTCCATGCGCGCTCTAGCCAGCGAGAGAACTCTCCTCCATTCGACGGCATTCGCTGCACTTATATAATTAGTGGTGCCTGACCGAGGCTGTACCTCTTTCCAATCTTCGTGGTCCAAGGTGCAAGTTGTAAATCGGCTCGTGCAGATACAGTCGTGTGCTCGCTCCTGCTCACCAAAAAATGCCCACCATTTGCCTACTAGTAGTAAACAGGACAGTGAAGCAATATTAATGTTTCTACGTCAGTCAGTCGTATGATTTAAGGATTGTACCGTAACAGTCTGTGTCTCAATTGCACACACACACACTCCCACACATCTCCCCACACTCACCCACACATCTTCCCACACACACACACACATCTTCCCACACATCTCCCCACACTCACCCACACACACTCTCATGTATATCACACAGTCTCACAGCAACTTTGGAACGATGATCTCTCAACATGGACAGGAGGACAGGAGGGTCTCCACTGGCAGTGTCCCCAACACCGCCAGAAGCTCTGTGAGCTACACACCGTGATATCTGTACTGCATAGTACTAGAACAAATGCAGGGCGTTTTCCACGCGAGAACACATTAGTACATGCTCACAGCATAGAATGTTGCAATTCCATTCTACATTACAGTGTACTATACTGTATGTGCGACAGTGCCCTAATTGACGTCAGATATATGGAAAATCAATGCATACAGACAACAACACTCACATTGCTCACTAAATATTCATTCAGGTAGTCAATGAATTGAGCCTTGAACTCTGAAAAGTGATGGTCACTTTATCCATGAATATGTAGTTCTGTCGTGAAACTAAGCAGTGAGCAAAGTTCGGCATTTTGTAGTATGTCCAAGATCAAAAATCTTGCACTAATCATAACCTACTGGTGCTAAACCTACGTAAGTGTCTCTCTCTCTCTTCTCTCTCATTGTCTGATGTGCAGCCAGTGGAGAGGCCAGCAGCCGTGGGCAGAGCCCAGTCTGTCGCTGCTCTTCCCACCGCCAATGTGAGCAACACGTGTGTACAATTAATTTGGGGGGGAGGTAACCTATAGACAGAGGTCTGTAGCAATTTAAGCGAGAAGAGTAAATAAAGATTGCCTGTCCTGCTGTATTTAGTGGCCATACTTTTCCTTTCTCTCATTGATGTTAGATATGTAGAACTAGAGAACTAGAACACACTATTATTGGGGATGATTAAATGTGAGCCACGCCTACACATGTGTAATCAGAAGTGCACAAGAACACTCACTGAGTACTGATGTTTTTGCTAATAGTACTGATAGTACTGATGTGTTTAATACTGAATGTGGCATTATTACTGGTGATGTAATGTGTCTAGGGGGAGGTGGAGCTTCCTCCAGGCTGGGAGAAGAGGCTGACAAACACTGGGAGAGTCTTCTACATCAACCATACTCGGAGACTCACTCAATGGGTGAGTGGAACTGTACTGTAGATGAAAGAGAAGAGGGGAGGAAGAGAAGTTATCGAAAAGGTTTAATCTAGAAATCGCGTAGTGGTTTACAATTTTTAGATGTTCCACTGCTCGTCCTAATGCATGCGTGAAATTTCAAATGACATTTAAGGTGACTTATGCAGCAGAAGTATTACTAAGTGGTTTATTCATGTGTGCATTTCAAACCTAGTGCATTGTAATGCGTGAAGTCAGTGGTGTTTGTCGTTATTCCTCTTCCTCTCTTTCCCTCTCTTGTACCTCTCTCTCAGTACCCTCCCACCCCCGAACAAATGCAGTTGGCCGTTCGGAACTCCCCGCGACCGCTGTCAGTAGCCCTCACCTCCAGCCCCCAGCAGCCCACCTCTCCCCCTCCCTCCTCCTCCCCCCTCTCCCCCTCCTCCTCCTCTTATGTGAAACCAACCATTACATCTCCTGCTGGCAACGGAAGAGCCAACGGCAGGCCAGAGACCAGTGGTACAGAAAACCTCGGAGATCTGCCGGTGAGTTTGTATTGTAGCTCCTTTCCCCAAGTAGGGTATTCTGTATTTTCCAAAATGGTTTGGGTAGTGGCCTCGTACCCGGGCTCTTTGCAGACCTTCACAAATGCCTCAATGACTGTACCCACCCAGAGCCTACTTACAATGCACTACAGATTAAACCACTTAGTAATCCTATTTGTACGTAATACTTCTGCTGCGTAGGACACCTTAATGTCAAAATGCCTAAGCCTACACTACACTATTTTGTACATGCATGTGTATTGTGCACACTCCGAGGATTGGTACTAATGCCTTTATTATGACAACTTGCACAACTGGGTGTGTGGGAAAAAGTACTGACCGTTTCTCTATGTGTACCTTCACCTCTAGCCCAAGTGGGAGATGAGAATAACTGGCAATGGGAAAGCCTTCTTCATTGATCACAGTGAGTTTCCCACTCTCCCCACTCCCTCCTCTACACACTAATTAACCCACCACGGAAACATACGTACATAATGTGTCCAGGACCAACGTAATACATGTTAGATATACCCATGGCGTCCAAAGAGTTAAAGCCTGAAAATATTATGCATGAAAAATAGTTCCGTAAGTGCTCTCTCTTTCTCTTATGATCCTCATATTGTATGCCGTCTTAGTTCAAACAATCATTTGCTGTCTTGGTTCAAATAATCATTTGCAAATTGGTTCAAATCATTTGGAACCCTCCATTTCAAATCGCTCTTCTCACACCCTCCCTATCTTAACCTCCTCCCCCTCCCTCCCTCTCTCCAGACACTAAGTCCACACAGTGGGAAGACCCCAGACTGCTGAAGAAGAAGCAAACAGCCGCAGCAGTAGTGCCGTACTCCAGGAACTACAAGATCAAATACGAGAGCTTCAGAAACCAACTCTCACACAAGAAGCCAGTAAGTGACCCATAACTTTGTCCATCGCACTATTACAGTAATGTTTATTAGGCATTCTGCAGTTTGTCTATAGCTGTAATACTGACCTTTATTGGGCAAGTCTTGTGTGACTATTGTAATGTAGAGCAACTTTAGCCTAGACAGACAGTCGTGCTGCACTCTGTACCTATTCTATTTGTGATTCCCGCCACATGTTTAGGACACCTTTCATGTACTAAAAATGTGTAATTGACTTGTTTACTTTGCCCTTCATGCCTTGCTATATACCTCGTTGTTGATTTGCAGCTTACACTTAACGTATTTTAAGCACGTGCATTTGAAAACCAGAGTCAACATTTTTATTAGGCTAGTGCTCGTGCAAAAGAATTTCCTGGGTGTTAGTTGACTGCTTGCCTTTCTACCCCGTAATTCATGTGTGCTAAGAGCCACAGTAATGGCTATTTCCCATTCTCTCACTCTTTGTGTGCAGGAGAATCTTCCCCGTATGTTTGAGATCCCGGTTCGCAGGAACCACATATTCGAGGACAGTCACAGGGCGACAATGACCTGTAAGAACAGGGACCACCTCAAGGCCAGACTGTGGGTCAAGTTTGAGGGGGAGGTCGGCCTCGACTATGGCGGAGTCTCTCGGTCAGTTGCACCAGGGCTGGGACATTTCGCAGCTTTTGCTTTTCACAAATTTTGTGGAGATGGGGGGAAATCAGTTTTTGGGGGGATGAGCAGTCGACGAAGGTGCATGTTTACATAATATGTGTGTTATTTTCTGAATTACGACATTTTAACACCCTACATTCACAGTACTGTAAAACTAAGTGGTGTATATTATTAAAAGTTTGCATTTGGCTCCGACACGCTAATGTGCATTGGAAGGAAGCCTGCTGCATTCACACTAATACTAGTACACTTTTGGTGCTCCTTCAAATTAAGAACTACATAATTATGTATACATGTACGTATGTATGTAATGCAGGGAGTGGTTCTTTCTGTTGTCTCACGAAATGTTCAATCCTTACTACGGCCTCTTTGAGTACGCCGCAAGGTCAGTCAGTACACAATGATAGTATACTACATACATGTTTAGTTTGAAGAATGCTAGCAATGAGGGAATGTACTAAGGAATACTGAAAGATTACTGAGATTGTTAAGCAATATACTAGAGAATGTACTAGAGATTACTGAAAGATTACTGAAAGATTACTGAGACTGTTCCCCTCTCTCTCTCCAGTGATAACTACACGCTGCAGATAAACCCTGATTCAGGCCAGTGCAACGAATACCATTTGCAGTACTTCAAGTTTGTGGGTCGGATCCTAGCAATGGCCATCTACCACCAGAGACTCATTGATGGTCAGTCTACCTGGCTATCAACCTCCACTGCACTTTCACCATATACAATGGGAAACTAGATAGTCTTGAAAATCTCCTTAATGTTGAAAGAGAGATGAGTAGCAGAGTTTCTCTGTGAAATATTATTGTGGGCAAAAGCATTAGTATAGTGGGACAAGCAATCTTTAAGTGTTGTAGTGAATACCCTTTTCCTTTAATGGTATAGTCACCTACATATGTACCATTATCATAGTCTCTTTCTCTCTTCCCTCCCTCTCTCCCTCACTCCCTCTTCTCTCCCTCCTCCCTCCCTCCCTCCATCTTCTCTCCCTCCTCCCTCCCTCACTCCCTCTTCTCTCCCTCCTCTCTCCCTCACTCCCTCTTCTCTCCCTCCTCTCTCCCTCACTCCCTCTTCTCTCCCTCCTCTCTCCCTCACTCCCTCTTCTCTCCCTCCTCTCTCCCTCACTCCCTCTTCTCTCCCTCCTCCCTCCCTCCCTCCATCTTCTCTCCCTCCCTCCATCTTCTCTCCCTCCTCCCTCCCTCCCTCGCAGGCTACTTCATTCGCCCAATGTACAAACTGCTGCTGGAGAAGAAGCTGGTGCTGGGAGACATGGAGTCCGTGGACACAGAGTTCTACAACTCTGTCAAATACATTCTCGACAACGACCCCGAGCCACTCTGTCTCTACTTCACTGCCAGCAGAGAGTTTCTGGGGCAGGTGAGAGGGGAGGGAGGGGAGGAGGGAGGGAGGGAGGAAGAGGAGGGGGGGAGTGGAGGAGGGAGGGGAGGGAGGAAGAGGAGGAAGAGGAGGAGGGAGGAGAGGAGGAGGGGGAGGGGGAGGGCGGAAGAGGAGGATGGGAGGAGGGAGGAAGAGGAGGAGGGGGGAGGGGGGGGAGGATAAAGAGTTTTGTGACTTGTATCATGTTGACAGTGAGACCACTAGGCTCACTCGCCTGCTCATGCACACACCAGAAAAACTTAGAGCACGTTATTGCTACTGGTCTGTGTATGAATCTACAAGCAGTTCAATACTAACACTAACTTGACTGTTTACTTTTATCCATGCAACAGTCTTCACTGGCATGCGAAGCGAGCCTATGTACCTAGTCATTTCAATGCGGTATATTTATATGCGATGGCACTGCCCGGGCACTGCACATACACCTTAATGTTCTACGTGATTCTAAATACGCGCAAAACACGCACGAAATATTGAACTGCTCACTCGCCAAAAATGCGTGGCATTCGTTCTAGTACTTAATAAGTTAGGTGTAGCTGATCCATTGAGGTCCGCACACATTACACCAGTCCTTGGGCTCTTCACAATCAGAATGCTGCAGTGTAAGAATACCTCAGGCTCCCAAGAGATGACGTAGTCGCCGTCTAACAAATCTCTGTCTGTAGGTGGAGGAGGTGGAGCTAAAACCAGGAGGAGACTCCATAGAAGTCGTCGAAAACAACAAGAGAGAATACATCAGGTGAGATGACGTCATTATTAAAATCGCTGCTATTTCGGTGATGTCATCATTACGTTACTGGTATTCATGTCTAGACTATTGATGAAGTGGAGGTTTGCTGACAGAATTAGCAAGCAGATGGAGCAGATAAAGAAGGTATCATTGTGCACTAAACTGTCTTGCATCACTTACCTGTGCTATCTGTGCATGTTTGACATTTGTCATTTGCTCTGTACACTCTGTTTTCTGCAACATTTATATTATTACCATGCATTTGGAGGCTACTGTTGACTGTGCTTTAATGCAAGCGTGATCACTAGGTTTTACAAACATACAACATGTAGTTGCAAACTTAAGCTTTGCGATAACAAAAAATTTTACGGGGGAAAAACACTCTTTTCCAACAATTGAGAGAGAACACGTTTTACGTTGGCTTCCAAGTTTTCCTTAAAAGTTTCCAGCCACCGTATTACAAATCAATCTTAACTGGTTTGTGGGAGTGTTTCATGTGTTCCCTCCTCTATTTGACCAGGGGTTCAACGACGTGTTTCCTCTGAAGATGCTGCAAGTGTTTGATGAGAGAGAACTGGAGGTAAGTGTGACTGGCCGTTTTTCCTGGCATAAGATGTATCATAATACATATCTCTACGTACTCTATACATTAATATCTCTACATACGCTATGTATATGTAGGTTTGATGATGGCAAGTGTGCTCTATTCGCGCAAACCTACTTGGTATAACGTTACTGAATTCCCTATATATAAGGAAAGCCAAGTGGGTGTTGATTAGGGAGTGACTCAGCCCTCTGCTGTTGGTGTTAGTACAGCCAAGTGGGTGCTACTACTGGCCAATAAATCATACCCTATAATGTGCCGTTGCTGGGTAACGTATACCAAACATTCATATCTCTACGCATTCGGCCTGTTGAGTAATGCTCTCAGATTCTTCCAAACATCCTTCCTTTGTACAATCTTTCTCTGTGCTTCCTTTTTGTGAGCGAAACAGTTATCATATTGTAGATTATTTTTTGGGGGAAATTTTTGTTTCATTTCTTGCATCCTGATATAAAACAACTAGTGTAAGTGATGATCATTTCAGCATACAAATATTTTCTGTCCTAACCCATTCTTTGGTATATACCTTTGGCTCCTCTCTCCCCCTCCCTCCCTCTCCCGTCTCTACAGTACCTGCTGTGTGGTATATCGGAGATAGACGTGAAGGACTGGAAGAAAAACTCCATTTCCACCAATGGCTACACCAACGAGTCTCCTCCTGTCGTGTGGTTCTGGAAGGTACAGTCATTATTGTACGTCTTGAAATAAGATAGAGAGGAATGAACCAGTAATACAACAAGGGGAAAGGCTTACACTTATAAGTATTAGTGCATTGGTATTCCACTAATGCTATGTAAGCGCCCGAGGGCGAGGCCTTGTAAACCGCAACAGCACGACAAAAGGTGTAATACTTAGTTTATTGATAGTTGCTAGGTGCTATGACGTCAATTGCAGTCACCTACGCGTGCATTTTTGTGGTTTCGCGTCTTCTGCCGCGCTTTCTCGTTTGCGGAGCTCCCACTGGCGTTTCTCCTTGCATTGCGCTCTGTTGCAAGTCATGGCAAAGAGGTCTCGAAGCCCTCTTCGCGTAAGTGTCGAAGGGTGAACTTCAGAAAGCGAGGCTGAGGACGATGATCAATCCCGCACGGGCAAGAAGCTGAGGTTGAGTCTGGCATTAGGGAAGTAAGTAGAGCCCAGCCCATGAGTCAAGAGTACAGTGAGCGGTTTGAATTTTTTTAGCGGTGCTAAAGTTAAGACGCTGGAAAAGAAGTTCGTTCCCAAGAACACGGAAAGTTGCTATGATGCACTTTAAGCGCAGTGCTTATATCAGATATAAGCACTAACCACGGTGCATATTGTCACCTTAACACCTCGTTGGTGCATTAGCTGATTTATAGTAGCACAATAAACATAGCAACCACCTAGCAACGGTCAATAAATGTATGTTGCAAACCACATTTCACGGTGACACGCTTGGTGAGAGGCAGTCGATTTGGCATTCCAGTGAAAAACTGGGTGCAACTATACATTAATCTCTGTCCTTCCGTCCCTCCTTCCTCCTCTCCCTCCTCCTATATACACCTCTGCCCCTCTCGCAGGCTGTGGAAAACTTTGACAACGAAATGAAGGCTCGGTTGCTGCAGTTTGTGACTGGGACCTCCAGAGTACCAATGAACGGATTTGCAGAGCTACAGGGTGAGTGGGTCCTCCTAACTGAAGGCACTATGTAGTTGAGAATCTTGAGGAGTTGCAACCTCTGTAATGTACAGTGGAGCCTCCGAAGGGGCTTGCTGGGTATAGGACACATCTGTGTACTGATGGTGTATAATTTGACATGGGATTGTAGGACACTTTCGCCGTATTCTAAGTGTCCCTGATTCAGAGGTTTACTGTACATATTATGTCATACTTGTAACTGGCTCACAAATGTGTGTGTACAGCCCCACATTCATCGAATGTACTGCATCAAGTCACTTATCCAAACACACTACATTAATGTTAACACACGATAATACTCAAGATGACAATTAATTTTCCTTTTTTATGCCGCCCTTATAATACCACAACTACAGTAGAAGTCAAAAAAACGTTTCCAAAATCGTTCACCGTTCAACCGTTGAACGGCGTTCACCGTTCACCGTTCATCCGTTTCCGATGGAACGGCGTTTCACCGTTCATCCGTTGACCGTTCGTGTTCGCGGCTACGCAACCCGCGATACGCGCTAAAAGCTATCGACGAATTCATCACGGCGGAAGTCTAGCACCGAAATCGACGGTTATTTTTGGCAACTTTTGATGCCGTGGCCTTTGCCAAGGCTTAGGCTGTGGTAAAAGCGCGCCTCGCTACTTCAGGATAGCGTACGGCCGTAACTAGAAAAAGTGGGAGTGGCACACGCGCGGATAATTGTCGAACGGTCTGAACGGTGAAGGGCTGAACGGTGAACGGCGTTTCTCCGTTTCCGTTTTCCGTTTCTCCGTTCGAACGCCGTTCAACGGTTGAACGGTGAACGATTTTGGAAACGTTTTTTTGACTTCTACTGTATAGGTTAGACTCCAGTGCATCTTTTGCCCAGTGTAAAACTGCTATATATCAGATGGTATTCCATATGCCTGAGAGGAAACTCTAAGGCTATGTAGTATAAAATATGCTTCTACTTAATAGTACTGAACATGGCAGGGCGTGGCCTAGATATTATCACAATGTTTATGATAATAGAAACTTTTTGGGAATGTGTGCTCATGTTTCGTATCTACATAATGTTGAGTGTGTTGCAAACATGGACCTGTGGACCTATGTACTAGCCTTTCTATGTGTGGGGGGAGATAGTAGTAAACTTAGAGAGACAGCATTCTATGTGTTCCAACCTCCTATGCAGAAAGTCCATGAAATCTGTACAATCTGATGGGTCTTTGCGTTGTACAGTTATTGAACCGAAGCAAGGACACACTGAATGAAATTTGCGTTTTGTGAGCTCTAACCGTGCAAAGTTGGGGTGGTGTGAACCGCACAGAGGAGACTTGTAATAATGATACTGAGCTAGTAGTTGAGTAGTGAGTTAGTACTCAGAGCATTAGCAATGCTATGAGCCACGTAGATACAGGTTGGGAAAGAGTGACTCTATAATCATGAAGGCACACTAGTAGTATACACTCACTGTATGTAGCTGTATGTAAGGAAGCATGAGCACTGTTGGATGGAGGCAATATATGTACAATACACAAAGTTGGTTCCTAGTACATGTAGTCTACATGTGCTCTGAAGGGAGTTGTGTGTTTTTCGGTTGAGTGGTCGGAGGTAGAAAGGCGTGGCAAAAACAATGGTTGTCAATGGATGTCTCGTAGTAGGCTCAGTTTATGCTATGCACACATCAGTTCGTCCTACTGCACATATACATACAGTAGTACTAGAGTGAGACTTCACTGTGGGTTAGCCTTTTATTGTGTTGTAGGTTTGAGCCCGTGCCTCCTGAGCTGCCGTGGTAGTAGCTCAGTAGGTAGAGCACCCTTGCCTTGTCAGACTGGAGTGGAGTGGGTTTGAATCTCGTCCAGGGCAGCTCTTTAATCCCCGGATAACACGACTTGTAGTGTAGTTCAATTGAGTGGTTTTCCGTTCTACCTCGTAGTTTACACATGTCATTGGTAAAAGACGGTCTGGTGGGAAAGCTAGCTGTTCCGGTGTCCAATCGCTGTCAGTTGATTTGTCCAACTGCCAAGTTCACTGTCCTGTCCAACACCCTCCTTGTTCGCGTGGGCTTGGGCATGTGATGGTGGCCGGGAAGCATGTGTTGGAATATTTTCTTGCTGTTTCTGCCATCACTCTCCCTCCCATCCTCTCTCCTCTTCTGCTCGCCTCCTTTCTTCCTCACATCTTTACACCCCCGCTCCCTACTACCTACTCTCCCATCCCTCTCTCCCTCTCTCCCTCCTCTTCTCTCTCTTCCTCCACCTCCCTTTCTTCCTCACATCCTTACCCCCTCCCTCTCCCTCCAGGAAGCAACGGTCCTCAGAAGTTCTGTATCAAGAAACTCGGGGAACCCACGTCTCTGCCTCGCTCACACACATGGTCAGTCTATACTATTGCTTATGAACCATTTACGTAGCAACAAAGTTAAATGGCGTACAGAAAACTCGGTAAAAGTATTTTGTCTTTCTTGTTACGTTTCTGTTCAGTGTGCCATGACTTTTCTTTTCTGTGGCTGGTTAAGTGTTAGGTATTATGTGCCGCCTTCAGATCTCATAATGTAACTGCGCCTTCAGATCTCATTTGTAACTGCTGTTCCCCTCACAGTTTCAACAGAATCGACCTTCCTCCCTACAAGAGCTACCACGAGCTGAAAGAAAAGCTGAGACTAGCCATCGAGAACTGCGAAGGTTTCGAGGGTGTGGATTAATTAGAACCACATCCCTTTTGTCGACATCCAGCCGTCGTCTTGGTTTCGTTAACAAACTATGTGTAGTTGTTATGGTTTCAGAATGATGTCATTGTTTTTGTGTGTATCTTTTATCATCTTCGGTTTACTCCCTGGTCCCGTAGCAGGGGAAATATTTTTCATTACTTGTACCTCTCACTGTATATACATAAATTATTACCATTTGTGTACAGTTCCCGCTGTTGTTGAACTACAAGTACTATGAATCTCTCTTGGTGGACCGGAAGAGGGACTATGTTATTTAGACGTAATTTGCTGGAGTTTTTCAATACACGCACCATTGGTCCTCATTGCCTCTGCTTTTTGTAAACATTTACAGTCACTCACTGCGTGCCCAATTTTTGTGATTTTTCACATTTCTTTACGATGGTGTGTATACTGCATTTATTTATTATTCTTATTGTATATATGTCAACTCGTTTAAAACCCTTTGGACGCCATGGGTATCTGCTTATATATGTATATAAGCTGTATAAAATATTAGCGCCTAGTATTATAACCCTTATATAAATTCTTATGGACTTATGGAGGCTCTGGATACATTTATGTGTCCGTGGCTGGTTAGGTGAGTGTGGCTGAATTACGCCACATGTAATGTCTGCATTGCATTTTGTGAAGGCGAGGTCCCTGGTTACACTCCCACCTGCTCAAAATTTCTTGTTCAGTTCTTTATACTTTTCACACCAAAAGGTTTAATTAGTGATCCATGAGTGTAAGTTTGCTGTTACTATTTTGGCAGGTACTGTTCGTTTCTAAATAGAGCACACATTTTGTAGAGTAATAGTAGGCCAAAAACCCAATAGTCATTATTAATTTTTTAACATAATGTGCGGCGGGTGATGAGTGGCGGAATTATGCAACGGTCTGTCGTGGAATGAGGGAGATTGTACAAGACACAAAAAATATCTTAAGTGAAGTGTGGTAAAATATACATACATGTATAATGCAGTCAAGCAAAGGTTTTAGTCGACAAGTGTGGCAGCATAAAAAGTGACTGACGGATGAAATGAACGATGCTCTCTGTGAAAAAGGTAAAAAGGTGCAGTTGTAACACAATTGAGATGATATTACGAGGAACCACCGGTTTGGGACAGTAAAAATAATATTGCAGCCTATATAGCTATTATAGTGAGTGATCTGAGAAAGTATAAATTATTAATATTATAGTGTACTGGTTCAGCCAGCAAAGTGATGAAAGAGAGAAATTTGGGTGAGGCTGTTGAAGCAGTAAAAATGGTTCCTCAGTACACAAAACTATAAAGTGATGCGGTACAAGAAAAAATAGCATGGTTTATGATTATAGAGTGGCAAATTACTGGAAAAATAAGGTTTACGGCTGTGTTTGAGTGTAGCAACCAGAAGGAGAATGAGTGATGGCTAGCCAGTGAAACTGAGTTTGACGGAGTTGATACAAAAATAGCTGAGAAGGGAACAGTGTCGCGATTACAACAACAAGTCCCGGAGAAAGAGTTTTAAAAATGACAACTGTTTAAAGTGATGCCAGTGACTTGGAACAAGTCAGTGTTGCTTGTGGTGGCGCTGCGATGTGGCACTGCGATGTGGCGCTGCGATGCGGCGATGTGGGAGATGTTAGTTAGTCGGCACAGTGGAGAGATGAGGAGGGGAGTTCTGGCGATAATTATGTGATGATGTCATGACAACAACACAACACAACAGGTCCGACAGTTGAGTAATAGAGTGACTGGAGAGCTGGTGCCCGTGATGGCAAAGTGTGAGAAGGGGAGAGTGTGTCCTTTGGGAAAGGTTCGCAGAGAGTGTCGAGGGTTGGTGGAGGGGTAGTGTGTCCTCCAGTAGAGGTTGGAAAAGAGTGTCATCTTGTAGATATGGGTGGGAGGGGTAGTGTGTCTTTTAGTAGATGCGGTCGAGGCGCGTACTCCAGACGAGAAGGGGGAGAGCAGTAGGTGATGTTGGGAGAGTGTGTTTTCTAGACAAGTGTGTCCTGCAGTAGACGAGGGTCGGGGAAGGGGAGGGGGGGAGTGTGTCCTCTAGTAGATGAGGGTGGGGGAGGGAGGGTCAGTGAGGACTGAAGGGAGGGAGAGGGAGCGTTGGAGTCCGTTGCTAGTCTGAGGTGAGAACACTGGGACCTGTGGTAGTAGAGAGAGAGAGAGAGAGAGAGAGAGAAGAGGAAGTAAAACAGTGTCTGATTGAGCAAAGGTTTCGCTTTCTAACTAGAGATGTGTTACGTATGTATGGAGGGAAGATAATAGTGGCAGAGTATTGAGAGTCGCGTATTTACCAGGAACTATATAAAGCTAACTGTGTTCCATGCTAGCCGAGTATTAAACTCGACCAAAGTCGTGAACATGCATGGATGAAAGAACGGTGAGCTGCAATTGCATGTGATTTTGTATTCAGTGTACTAAACAAGCATTGCAAGAACTAAGCCATGTACTGGTGTACATGTAGCTTAATGCTGGTGTATATTGCACACAAGCCTTGCGTCACATTATGCAACACACAGCACGGATCCAACAGACAAGCAGAATGTTATTACAAGCTCCTTACAGCTACTTTTAGTTCCTGGTAACGATGGTTTAGTACGCTACATACACTTTACATGCAATTCAGCACACCTCATTACCCCACTATACTGGCTTTTGAAACACACAATAGGCCTTCAACCGGTGAAATGTTATAGCCAAGAGAGAAGTGGGGAGTGAGAATACAAAGGGAGTGTGTGTGTGCGTGTGTGCTTGCGTGTGGCTAGTCTGGTATGTATGTTGTTGCTCACGTTCTGTTCCACATCAGATAGAATGGTCTTGAAGGTGGGTCTGGAGTCAGGGTTGAGCTTCCAGCAGCGTTGGATGATCCCTCTCAGTCTGTCGCGGGGGAGGAGGGAGAGAGGCTGGAGCCGGCCGCTTCCGACTCGCCAGATGACACACTCTCGAGGCACGTTCTTGAATGGCTTCCCCAGAAGAACCAGTTCGTAGACTAGGGTGCTGTGGAAGTAGGGAGGGAGGGAGGGAGGGAGAGAGGGAGGGAGAGAGAGAGGTAAAATAACATTGTACACGTCAACTCCTAATTTCATTCCCAAATTTAGATACACTGAACCTGCCCTCATTCTATTTGTGTGAATTGTCGTGTGCATAACCGCAGTAGACTAACAGTTTGTTACGACAAGAAACGTAACTGGGTGCATGCACACTGTCTCACGAGGTATGTATGTGCATGCAAAGGGCTACACTGCACATGCACCTGAGGACGTTATCAACACGGTTACTTAGTCAGGAGTTGTCAATAGTACATGATTGACATAGCGTACATTTGCCTTCAACATCAAGCTAGGCAACTCGTGTAAATCAACGGTTGCCGCTAGCTATAGCTAATGAATGCCAGCATACCATGGCAACAATGTACAGGTGTACCAAAAGGGCACCGCCTACCGTTATTTGCTGAGCAAGACATGAGCATGTGTACATTGGTCGTACAAACTGGTGTTCGTGTGTATTGACATGTGAACAGGTCCCACTCCCTTTGAGTCCAGTCATTAATAATATAGCTGCTCCGTGTTCTTGAGCGCTCCTTTTCAGACGTATTTTTAGTAAGTCATTTGTGTAAGCTTGTCTTTGTAGACAGGTATATACCGTACTAAAAACTGCAGCTGCTACAATAAGAGTTGCTATACGCTTGGTAACGCAATAACTGTGGGAAGTGTCTGTTGTATAATTATTGTGTAAGTGCAGGTGATGCATGCAAATTGCACAAACTGCTAATGTCCATCCCCTCATGCAGACTTTCCTGAAACGGACAATCTATTGACGGTACGTAATACCACGGTGTGGATTTCAAAGGGACATGCAACAGGCAAGGCCCCCTTCTCTTTCACTTTTCGGATGACCATACAACGTACTCTACACCTATTTCCATGTTTTTCTAAACATCAGTACCTGAAACGATAACCGTCTACGCCAGACCTTTCCCACTGACCCTTTTGGAGTATTTGTATACATACACGTGCTTGTGTAACTGTACATCAATGGTTCTGAATGTAAGCACGGGAGCGGGAGCGGGAGCGAGAGAGTTTTTCAATTTGCGCTGTGATAGTGAAAATCGCCACATAGTGAAGCCAAGTAGAATTCCGGGAAGAAATGCAATTTCCCTCTATACCTCTGTGACTATGACTACAGGGAAATTGAAAAAATGCTCCATTCATCATCCTACTTAACACGCACACATGCAGAAACTTTCTCGAGTCATTGGCAAACATGTTTTGATGCGCATGTGTATATACACTTATAGTCATTTTGCTTTTAGTGTCAGAGATCGGGACACCTCACAAATCAGGACACTTTCCCCCCTTCACAACTTGGGATATTAGCCAGGGCACCTACAACTATAACCATTTTCCAGATTAGAGCGTTTCCATTATGTACGTATGTATGTGAAAACTATGAGGTAGAAAGGCAAAGGCACAACAAACAAATCGACTACACCCAGGACAGCTCTTTTTTTCCAAGGAAAAATAAAGAGCTGCCCTAGGTGGGATTCGAACCCACGACACTCTGCAGTCTAGGCGAGCGCTCTACCAAACTGAGCTACCAGGGCAACTCAGCTGGTAGGGGTGTATCAGATGTATGTATCTGGCTTACCCAAAGGCAAAGACGTCCGGCTTGAGGGCGGGAGGATTGGGTAGGACCAGACTCCCTCCACTGTGAGCGAGAGTTCGTATGTCCTCGGGAGGCAGCGAGATGAGATCGTCACACGGGACGCAGCGAGGGAGACAGACCTGAGGTCTGAACCTGATGCAGACTCTGTTGTGGATGTAGACGGTGGAGGCAGAGAGACGTCCGTGGGAGATGCCTCTAGAGTGGAGGTACTCCATTCCCTGTGGGGTGGGGGAGGAGGAGGGAGGAGAGCAGGTAGGAAGAAAAGGAGGAGAGAGAGGAGGGAAGGAGGAGGAAAGGTACGAAGAGAGAGGGAGAGAGAGATGGAGGAGGGAGGGTAGGGAGGAGAGAGAGAGAGAAGTGAGAGAGGGAGGAAGGTGAGATGGCAATGAACACATATATATTCACAAACTTCTCTAAAACAACACACTGGCTGTTGACTTTGGCCCACTGTATGGACAAAACGTGATTGCGTACCCAGCCCCCCCTGTGTCAGTACATAACTCTATTCTACCCAAAGCTCACTAGCCCCAGGCTCAGTGGGTGTCAGCAGATATTTCTGGGATATGTCTGACCTTAACTGTCGCGCCCCCTGTGTGTGTGCGCGTACCTCACCAGTGTGTAATTTGGAGAGGAACGAAAAAAACGCACGCAGAAGCGCAGAACCGTGTGGGTAGGGTATGAGAGGGAGGGAGAGGAAGGAGGGAGGGAGAGAGAGGAGGGAGGGAGAGGAAGGAGGGAGGGAGGGAGAGGAAGGAGGGAGGGGAGAGGAAGGAGGGAGGGAGAGAGAGGGAGGGAGAGGAAGGAGGGAGGGAGGAGAGGAAGGAGGGAGGAGAGGAAGAGAGGGGAGGGAGGGAGAGAAGAGAGAGGAGGGAGGGAAGGCTAGTTTGCCTATTTCAACATATGCTCCGCTAGTTTCAACACGCCTACAGGCCTCCCTATTGTCGTGCTGAGTCCATAGCTAGCTGTTAGTCTGTGCATTACACAGCTGTAAGTACACTGCTTGGCAGGTGGTATAATACCATTACCATTATACAACGAGTGCTACTACAAAACACCAGAAAACCGTTAAGGAGAAAACATGGCAACTCGAATACAGGCAAAGTATGAATTTGACACAGAACACTTTCATTTAATACTACTGCTTTGTTCCACAGAGAAAGCGATCTCGGTTAGCCCTGAAAGCACAAAATCAACGAAAGTTCCTTCCTCCGAAAGTCGCACCATGCAAACTGTATCATCGTGTTGTTGCCTTACCTCACAGATCTGCTTGACAATCTTGAACTTGGAAGACATGGAGAACTGGTGGCAGTGGACGTGGAGCCTGGTATGCAGCGACTCACCCTTCAGAGGACTGGGGGACAGAGGAGACGACATTCACATTCCTAAACATCCTTCATTCCTCAATAGTTAGATCTATACACAATATTCAATAGTCAACAGGAAATTTTTGAATGGTACCCTTCGAAAAATTTTAGGGTCGAGGCCCATCTCAGTGAATTTTTTTGGGGTGATTTGATACTAGCATGCGGAAAAGTTTTCCGGTAGCTATGTATAGAGCAAAGGCATCCACTGTTTTGGTCTACTGTGGTATGGACTTCATTCTATGTGGTTGACGCTCTCTGCTGCTAATTCAAAGTGAATGTCAAGTGTTTGCGTTCCACAGGAATGCCACCAATTAGCTCCCTCTTTCAGGGCCCCACAACTGCTAAAGTCCTCCATTGTTTGGTCTCCTTTATATCGGGCAGTGTCGCATTACTGGCCTGCCCTCGACTGCTATTGAGTCCCAGTTGTAACCAGGCACCGTGCAGCTGAAGTGGATGTTTTGTTAGCTACCATCTGGACCCCATTAAAACCCTTTGTCGGAAACTGGACTTGCATTCATACATTATTTGGAAGCATAAGAGGCCACTAACCCCTTGTATCATATAAAGGGCACCACAGTCGTAATCCTTTTCTGCTGCTATGGTATTTACAAAATGTAACTAGCTCGTTAATAAAATGGGGTTCATATACATTGAAACACCTCTGATCTGAGGTCCAATGGGACAGAAAATAGTGTTGAGATATCCTTATTACAGAGGTTAAACTACATTTAAGGGCAGTCGTTGCTGAAATAAGAGGTGTCCATATTAGAGAAAAAGGGTGTTCTTAGAGAGAGGTTCACATGCATTAGTAGTGTGTCAATCAATAGGGGTTTACCTCATAACGAGACCGAGATGACCTCCTCCCATGTCGAGGGTGATGCCCATGAAGAGCTGGATGCTCTCGTGTCTGATCTTGTTCAGGGCAGCCACCTCATGGCAGAAACACCGAGTGTCATAGCCACTTCTGGCCTCTCTGGATATGACCTGGACACTGCCGTGCCAGTATCCACTGGGAGAGGAGGGGAGGGGGGAGGGGGGAGGGAGAGGAGTAAGAAGGAAAGGAGGGAGAGGAGGGAGAAGGAGAGGAGGGAGAGGAGGGGGGAGAAGAAGGAAATAGAGAGAGAATGGAGAAGAAAATGAAAGGTAGGGAGAGGGAAGAGAGGAAGGGATATTAAGAGACTTGAACACACAAACTCTGTTAGTTTTCAAACTCTACGTACTCACTTAGATACACAGACTCTAACGTTTAACAGACTTTATAATACTTTCAGTATCTGCTGCAGCAAGTCAGTCTAGCCTCAGAGCCCCCTAACTCTAGGTCCAGTCATGCAAGTAGATTCAGTTTGTTTTTTGGATGTAGAAGAGTTAGGCTGTTGATTTCCATCATTCAGAGAGGGTATTGGTGCAATTGCAGAGGTGTCATTATCCTCCATCAGTGGGCCATACTTCGGGCAGCTAGGGCTGAGCGCTCGAGTGCTCTGGACAAACACACGCAATAATGGCCTGATCTCATGCAGACTGTTTTGATCCACGTGCAAGAGGCCATATGCTCAGTAGCAGACTTTCTGGCACACTATAACCAGCCAGCGAAAACAAGTTTCGTTCACTTACGTACAGTGGAAAAAGTGGGCGTATGTATATAATATATCAGGCTAGGGAGTTTGAATGCCAGAGTTTGGCATGTAGGCTGTGTGAGAAAACCAATGGCATTAGCGTTGTCCATTTGCTGGTGAACATTCTTCCCTTGTGTGCTAAAAGCCGGCAACTCTAAAATCAGCAGTGAATGGAGCAATATTGCTAACACATGCTGGCTCATACAACAGCACCTGTTCCTCTCCCCGAAACTGACATTTCTAGCTAAGCATACTTTCGTGTCGCCTGCACACCCAGGGCCTTTGATACGCCCACAGTGGGACGGCAGAGAGACATGGGAACTACATATGCCAGTGCTGTGCGGATACTGTCACTGCCACTAACACAATGTGCGCAGACATGAGTGCCTAACAGCTAGAGCATCTTACCCGAAAACGGTCTCCTCGCAGTTGTGTGAGATGACGCTCGTGAGACTGATCTCTCGCGAGGGGATAATGAACTCCTCCCAGCCTTCAAGCCAAAACTCCTCTTCCTCTGTGAAATATAATGATAGAAACATAATGATCAAAACGGTTGGGTATGACACTTAGCTACTAGCGTAAGGCCCAGTTCAACTATGCTTCTGCATCCATACTTCAGCTAAACCTAGCACAATATGTAACTCTATATCCCAATCCCGAGCTAGCTCCTGCTGTAAGCTAGCTACTCCCATTTCTTTCTCACCATCGTCGAGATCTTCACAGGCGCTCCACGAGTCTCCCTCGAGCTCTCTGCAGGCGGTGACCGTGAACACGTCGTCCTCCTCTTCCTCCCCGCAATAGCAGCCGGGGGACTCGGCGAGACTGGCGATCGAAAGCCAGCTCTGCAGGTTGGCCGGTTCGGATCCGATGCGGCGAGCCTCGCACCATTTGAGCGACTCCACTGCCGATGCTGCCGCAGCCTTCGAGGCGACAGTCGACGACGAAGACGAGGAGATAGTCTCGCAGCAGAAGCTCGGGGAGATGGAGATGGTGGGTCGGAGGAGTAGGGGAGAGTAGGAGGCGATTGGGGACATGCAGCCAGGCAGTAGCGTCCCGTCGAAGTCTCCGATGGTCGTGCAACACACGGCGCGGGCGGCGCTGCACCAGCCGGACGATGACGATGAAGAAGTCTTGACGAGGTTGAGATGCTCACTGCAGAGAGCAGATGGAGCAGGGATGAAGGTTGTTCTCGAAGATACGCAGGTCATACTGACGATCTGAGGAGACTCCGGTTGAAAGGACGATGAGACGCTGGAACAAACTGCAGATACCACTGGTCGTGAATCGACTGTACCGGGCCTCGGTCTCAGCTCCCCGTTTTCTAGTCGCTCCGAGCGTTTGCATTTCTCCGACAAAGGCGCCGCCGTGATCATCAGCAGTGCAAGCATCCCGTGCTGCGACACCCAAGACTCTGCGGGACAAGCCGCGAGTTTTCTGTTTTAGCGAAGGCGGCCCCGCAATAAAAGGCGGGGTCTCTGTACGCAGCGCTTTGATCTACCTGCCGCTCTTTCAGGACCTCAGTGAAGATTAGCACCACGGCTTTTGTGCGGACCTTTTCCAAAGCGGTATCGTAAGGTCGCCTATTCAACAGTAAGGCCGCGCGTTCTTCTGCCATGCAAGACTAATGCTAAAAGCGAGGGCTAAGCGATCTTGCTGATAATATTATGCAATCTCAACGAAAACAAAAGCTGATTTTCCAAATTGGCCTTGCTTGCACTATTGTTAAACTGCATTTGGTTAAAAGCATAATTTGTGCAACTTTGCATCAATTGCATGCGCAGCAGGCAACACTTTGAGGGCATTATTTGTAAACCTTTCGTACTTACAACAAAATGAAACAAAAAGACAATGCACATACAGATGCGTGCATTTGAGAAACGGATTTGTACATAATGTTGCATAGGAGGGAAAATTGATAGTCACAAAAACAGATTGCAAACAGACTGAATTTCCTGTAAAAATAACCCTGCACACCCCAAGTCTGCTCGACAAAAGTCACCACTGAGTATCAGAACTGCAAGTTTTTGTGCAGCATGCTATCAGGTGACCCAGACATGAGAATATCAGAAGTCAAGAAACCCATGTCAAAGTTTTGGAGTCCTGAGAACTCTTCTTGTTTCAGTAGAGTGTCCATTACAGCATCCTCGACGTTGTACTCGCTGAACACCACGGGGCTGTTTAGTTTGTCGCCCTGTTCGTCCATGGCCAGATCACTCATCACAATGGAGGGGAGGGAGAGCTGGACGCTGCGGTTGGCCCGTGGAGACAGCTCTGCAAACTCCACAGGGGCATTGAGATCCGTGAGAGACTTGTGGTGACTGATGGGCGAGCCCGGTTTGGTCTTGTCGGTCGCGGCAGTGGTACCACCGGTCGTGGGACCACCACCACCACCACTGTCCATCATGGGCCACTCGTGACCGTGGAAGACAAATTCGTTGGCCTGTTGTTGGTCGATCCAGAACGGACGGACAGAGGGCGGCGACGAAGCATAACTAGCAGATGTGGACGGACTGTCACCAGTAGTGGGCGAATCGCAAATCTCCGCTATGTTCTCATTGCTCGGGGAATCAACGTACACACAGGGAACACTGTTAGCATTAGCCAGGTTACCCATGAACGGGTTGTGCATGAGGTCACCCCTCTCTTTCTGGACTTTCTGCTGTAGGTTTTCCTCCGAGTGCGACCGAATGAGGTGCTCCGTTTTGTGCATGCCAAACGAAGCAAACCTTTCCTGGAGGGCCTGCTGTTGTCTTGCAGCGAGGTAGCTCGGTAGAGCGGAGAATCCCGGGCTGATTGTAATGGTAGGAGTGGCCGGGAGAGAACTAATGCTAGAGATGGGAAACTGAGCTCTGACGTGGGTGGGTTCGCCTCCCGCAACAAGAGGGGCGGGAGGAACTCGATTAGTGTTGTTAGGCAGGGGCAATGTACCGGGGGAGGGAGGTGATTGCACGATGGAGAGCGGTGATTGTGCCTGCAGTGAGGAGTGAGGAGGAGAGAAAGGCCCGGGGACGGGTTGCGAGGGGGTCGATGTGGAAAGAATGCTGGGGGAAGGCCGGGGGGGCTGGATCACGACATTCATCTGAGGAGGAAGACTGTTGCTCTTGGCTGTTGTCTGCAACGCCGGGGGGATATTTGGCCCCCCGAGAGTGGCCCCCTGGTAGGGATTCGGGCGACTTGTGGTGGTGGGGTTGAGAAGTGATGGGAGGAGAGGGTGAGGAGGCTGGTAACCAGTCGCAGCTCTACTCTGAGGTGGTGTCCCGACCTGTCCACCACTGCTGCTAGAGGTTGCAATGTTCTGAAAGGTTTGAGCTGTTGGCCCCTTTCTGATGGTGCCACTAGAGCAGGACAGAGGAATGTGAAAAGGAGGGCCTAACGAGCTGAAATGAGAGGGTCTGTAGTTGGAACTAGGGTTAAGATTGAGTGCGGGGATGTTTTTGCTGAGCGGGTGGAGGTAGTGAGGGAGTAATTGTTGCTGGTGATTAAAGGAGTGGGAGGTCGGGAGGGGGTGATTGGAGTGTGGGATACTGGGGACGCTGGGGAGGAGGGGCTGGGGGAAGTAGGCATGGCTGGTGATGTAAGAAGTGGGTGGCAGCTGGTGGTTTGCCTGGAAGCTGTTCATGAGTAGGTTCGAGGCGGGGAATCCCCCTTGCTGGGTGGGCGGAGCCTGGTAGGGGAACATCAGTCCCTGCTGCTGCTGCTGCTGTTGCAGAGGTAGGTGTGGCAGAAGGGGCGTGGCCTGGGGGGCAGGGTCATCTCTCTCTAGAGGAACATCGAGCCCTGACTCGAACTCTATGTTGGTGAGGTCGGGGAGAGAGGAGGAGGCAGTGCCAGGCCCAGGGGCTGCAAGGGTGTTCTGGTAGATGTGTGCCGCAGCATCTGGACTATAGGAGGGGGACATTATTGGCTGGACCCTACATATTGGACTACATTAAGACGTTTTTGATTGGAACCTTAATGTACAGATTTACACTGCTATTGGACTATACATTAGGTGGAGGGACACAGGCCCCTTCAATCGTGAACATTTACTGCTTTTGGACTCTAAGGAGTGACATTGACTTGACCCCTTTAACCCTTTGGACGCCATGGGGATCTGCTTAATTAAATAAGCAGAAATTGATGTATAGTGTATTAGGGCCTACTATTATAACCTCCATACAAATTCATACGGACTTATGGAGGCTCTGGACACATTTATGCGTCCGTGGCTGATTAAGTGTTAATGCAACTAGGTTTACTAAATTTATACTGCCACATTCACTTTCAGACCCGGGACATCAGGTTACAAAACACACGTGAACTGCAAAACACACGTGCAGGTTGATGGGACAATGGTTGCACACATTCCCAAAAGAGAAATCGGAAGAGGTTGGGAAATGTCACTGTCTTATCTCACCAGATCGTAGTCCACTATACCGCACATACTTTCATAAAGAGGTATGTATGTAGTGTACTGTGTTCATTGGACACCTCCATGTGGACACATGTGCATCACTATTAACAAAATTGGACAAAGTTCCTCGTCCTAATAACATCTATTACTGAGAAGTTCATACACACGTTTGTGGAAAAAACTACATTCTTGTGCTGCTGTGAGACGATGACGAATGTTGTACGTCCCAGTGTGCATGCGCATGCAAGAACAAACATCAAGCGATGAAAATCTGCGCTACGATGGAACACTGAACGGAAGACGACCGCTACACAGTATTCAGTGGTGCTCTATTTAAAGAACTATTCATACCTTACATATGTACACACGTGTATAGGTACGTACCTAAGTAGTGAGGCAGCTGTGCTGATAGAGGCTGGTCGCTTCTGTTTGCCCCACACTCCAAGGTCATTTGGAGTGGCGTGCACTGAGGAAGAAGACAGCAGAAACAGAGTGAAATGAAAAGCACTAAAGTGCAAACCCTCGGCGGTAAACTAGCGAGTTGTAGCATCGCTGTATGCTGGGCCATGCGACATCGACGGAGCCAGTAACACGAGTCTCACCGTAACACAGGGTAGTTGCATTAGCGGTTAGAGCAATAGCTCAGGTGTTTCAGAGGCTCTCATCTTTGCTTTATTCAATCTATCCTGCTCTTCTGTGTTTCAATGCTCTCGCCAGACGTTTTATAGATGGGAAGGCAAGGCCGCAACCACAAACTGCTCGCCACCTGAACTATTGCTTGCTCAGCATGTTTATCGTTTATCCATAGGGAACAGAGATCAAAACTGACAGGAGGCCATATACAACCAAGCGCATGCTACGGCGATTAGTTGACATTACGCGTGCGCGCTATATAGCCTGCAGGAGAGGGCGCGTGCGCGATCCACCGCGCGTTGGCTTTTTCGCTTGTTTTCACGCCATATCTCTGGAACGCAGTCGTTTCGGGAAAATCGCCACATTAATATCAATCTTCTCGTCGTTCACAACCCGTTGGTGCCTCTCATTGGCCGCCTCGTAGCCTGTAGTGCTAGAACTCACGCGGACGGACAGACAGACGGACAGACAGAACGACTACTGTAACCCTCGCTGCGCATGCGCGCCGAGGGTTAATTATACAACATCGTTGAAGATAAACAAACACACAAAACTCAAAGTTGTTTGTTTTGTTGAATGCAGAAAAAGAATTGAAGCGGGGCTGACTGAACACTTGTGCACATCTAAACTTTATTTACTCGCATATGTCGCCCTATAGAGGGGAATAACTTCAACAGAATTTATTCGGGTAAGTGCATGTAAGAGCTGTTCTTAGAAAAACTGTCCTCATTTATGGGGTAGTGTATTGTTTAACCTTTGAATAACTGCGTAACACTGTAGCGAAGCATTTCAGAGATAGTTGTAAAAGTTTGTGATGATCTCTACCCCAGCATAGGGACGGTGTGGTGTCCTCTAGTATAGGACACCACTGTCGCGTACTAGAGCAATGCAAGGAGAAAGAGCTAACATTTGTTGCTGAGGAAGGAGGAGGGAGGAGGCGGAGTGTGACATGTGCCAGAGGTGATTTGGGGGTGGACCAGGGAATAAAACTGCTGATTCAGCATCCCTGGGTGTCCGGGCTGCTGAGTCAACAAACTCTGCTGGAGGTCAGAGTCCGACTTGTGCCTGTGTGAGGACAGAAAGAGTTCTTTGAACAGAGGGAACCCCAAAAGGCGCCAATATTACCAGAATAGTATAGGGGCTTCCAATAAACGATCTACATACGTGTAACAGAGGGTTTCTAATGTAGCTTTAATACTGCCATTAGTTGATATAAGTACACAGTAAGGTCAACGTTACATAATATGATATAATATACCTGGAGAGGTCTCCTTCCATCCAGTCTGCTGCTGGCCTGAAATGTAAATTGTGCACTAATGTTTTGGCAGGACAAAAATGAAATACTATATAGAACAAATGTAACTCATTTCTGGTGTGCCAATGTGAGCAGTTGGAATTTTGTGTATTTACAAACATTACGGTTATATGTGCAGTATCACATAAAGATTGTGCATTTCAGACAAGTAGAGTAAGCTCGCTTTGCTCGCCAATTACATTTCACTGCTCCACAGTTTTGCCAGTCCATTTTCTACTTGAGACAGAGAGTTAACTAAACCCAGTGTTACCAGGGTTACTGGCATGATAAAATCAAAATTGCCACACGCATTATTGTGAGCACTAAATGTCGTACAGCTAGCAAAGTCACTACAACCAGAAATCAGCCAGCCACAACAGCCGACAGGCCAACAAAACCTCACTTTTACATCAGCAAGTGTTGCACCAGCAACGTTGATAGAACTACCACAAGCAGTTTTACTCTATAATGCCGACAGCAACAAGTAAAGCCAGCAAGAACTAAAGCTAGCCTCAACAGTCGATCGCCCAAGAGAACCTCTGGACATAGCAAAGAATGCAAGAAGTGTGTTTTCCTGGTGTAGAGAGTTTTTGTCAGTGAGTCACAACACACAAGTCAACACACGGTGTCCTCAAAGAGATGGAGTCTGTTGCTTCATACATTGTGAATGACGGAACTGCTTATATTGTAGCATTTAGGGGAACGTTTCGAGTAAAATAGGCAGTTTATATGACGTTAAAAAAATTATATAAATTATACAACAGTGTTGCGGGGCCAATAAAAATTTTCGCGTTATTCCCTTATTATGATTGCAAAACGTTTTTCCCCCTTCTCCCTTTACAAGGTGTATACAAATGTAATAATGATGTAAGCCACTTACTGGTGGAGATACTGGTGTTCCATGTGCCCTGTTCCAATTAAGGTTGGGTATGGATCCGTGTCACAGTGCTCAGTGGTTAAGGTACACACATACATACTATCAGAATATTCAAGAGTACAAAGGTCAAGTTATACTGGTGTAGTGAGAAACTGTTGAGGGAGCAAAGTTTTATGTTAAAAAACCGACATTTTCAAGGGAAATTTTTTGCACATGGCTATAGTCCTGCAATAAATATATCCCAGACTACAAAATTTTCAGAGAATATTTTCGTGGACAACAGCACTTCTAAACGGTAAACTTTCCTGGCTATATGGCATTCATATACAATAGACAAGAGAGAAGAGGCATGCCAGGTAAGGAAGAGGAAGAGGAGAGACTGAGAGAAGAGATACGTAGTCAGTAAGGGAGGCATAGGAAGAGGAAGGGAGAGAGGGGGACAAAGAAGAAAGAGGCGAAAGAAGGACACACATAAGGAGGAGAGTAGGACTAAGGAAGGAGAGAGAGGGGAGAAGACGAGAGGGCAGAGAGAAGGGTACATAATGTGAGAGGATATGGATTGAGTTCTCTTGTCGAACTGGGACCTCCTGCCAGTGGGCCCTCCGCTGTGCGGTCTCTCTCTGGAAGTGGTGGAGGAGAGAGACGACCTCATTGTTACCTCATTCAGATCGTTGAACACACTCTGCAGCGTACGAAGTAGAGAACACACAGTGTGAGGACTCACACTCGGTTGGTGCTATATACCGACCAACTGACATGTACTACACGGGCACGTATCAACAACGCATGTTGAACTGCGCAATACTCGAACAAATAAAACACATTTTTGGCGAGAAAAGCAATCTTCAAGCCATTGTACATTACGTTCACGCATGCGCATTTGTTGCGGAGCATCATCAAAATCAGTTTATATGGAAAACCACGCAATCTAGACCACTAGGGAGGTTCGTTTCACTCGCTAATATATTCCAATGATGACAACACTGTCCCACTGCACAATATTAACATGCAAATATATACCACTGCAAAGACTAAGTACGTATATTGCTAGCACCAGATTCAGTGTGAATCTTGAAAGACCAACGTTAATATAGCTTGTGTAGTACGGCGCAGAAAGCACAGTTTGATTATCATGGGGTAGTTATGGCAGGGTTAGTATATGTACCTGCATGTCAATGGAAGGAGGGACTGGGTTGGAGTCGATGGCCACCAGAGACGGCATGGAGCCCCCTCCGCTGTGGATACTGGTGTTAGCTCGGGCCTGCTGAGCCTGCTGCATCTACAGGGGGAGAGGAGGAGGAGGAGGTGATTCGAGAGGAATGAGGGAGATAAATGAAAAGCACTAAAGTGCAAACCCTCGGCAAACTGCGCATGCACGGTACCGCTAATTGATGGGCTGGGCTATTTAGTGTGCCTTTACTCGTGGTCTCCCGCTAGTAGCTCGCGGAGAGTCTGACATGAGCTGGCTACAGCATGCGGGAGGATACACGCCCTTCGCTGTGATTTCAACATACACAGAGCAACTGACCTGCTCGAGGTAAGCCTCTTCTAATTAGCATATTGGCTTTTTCGCTCGAGTTTCACGCCGTAGCTCCCGAACGCAGCAGTTTCAGCAACCGACGCTGAATACGTGGTATCGTTTGTGGAGCGATTGATAGCTCGTGAAGTGAGATGTCGAGTAACAGACAGACTGACAGACACACACAACAACCACTGCAACCCTCGCTGAGCACACGCGCCGAGGCTTAATAAGACCACGTTAGTGTTGCAATAAAAGGGAAACCCCCTCAAAACCCAATTAAATCTGGGTGGCCTAAAAGAGAAAAGGAACAAGGAATGCAGAGGGTTTGTACTGATAAAATGGACGACCAATCTTCATTTTCATGTGGACATATGCCGACAGCAGCATACACACACACACACACACACACAGGTGTTAGTACATGCCTCAAAGATACTCTTCATGGCTTTCTGGAAGGCCTCCGACTGCTCGTGTTCTCTTCGTCTCATTATTGCAATCTTCTCCGTCAATCTTCGAGGCGTGACCTTTGTTTTCTTGTTCTCTGCTGACTCAGCAGTCCTGCTTCTCACTCGGTGGGCCATGGCAGGTGACGTCCTTCTGTGGAGGTCAAAAGTTCATCACCACATACAATTATATAAATGTCGGTCATTTAACTTTGCATTTAAGCCAAGAGAATTTTTGTGTTACAGTGAGATCAGGTTTGTTTGCGATAATCAACTTTTTGAAAATTTCACGGATTTTCGTGAAACTATACAAGAATGTTAGGTTTTAGTGCACCACACGCCAATCGTGTTGGTCAATTTTCTTTGCCGCGAGAGTAGTCATACGGTAGCTTGTGGTGGTGCAGTAACAACTCATTCAAGTCCAAAGGCTCCCCCCCCCCCGATTGAGGAATTTATCCTCTCCCTGGACCACACTATAGACAGCAAGTCCATGGAACAAACTGTGTCCAGAAACCTGTACAAGGGTGTCCTTGTGCTGTTGTGTTTTGAGGACGCTGCCCAAGGCTTCCAACTGATGAACTACCTCACCACTACTTGTGCATAGTATTATTATGCGTGCACAGGAAAAACAGCACCTCATGTACTTAATTGATTATTAAACTCTGTATGAGTTATGTAGTATGTATGTATATGTAGGACGAGACTTAGTAAACACAATTTAACACAGTGAGTGCGTACTACAAAAACAGTGCCCTTTACTAGCGTAGCCTCTCTTTGTTAACTACTTTTCCCAAAGCAGTGTTCGTTTCAGAATCACTCCTTATGCACAATGTACATATGTATATTGTGATAGAAACTGGCCAATATATTAGGTATGTTTTTGTGTACTCCATCACTTTAATGTCGTAAAATCTCAATTTCTCAGTAAAATTTTTCCATACCGTGCAGAATGTGTTCCAAAGACAACAAAATGATGTGTACGAATGACACGAGGGTAGTGGATTGACTACACTTGAAAAATGAGCTGCCTTGGGTGGGACTCGAACCCACAGCCACTGCCCTCTCTAGCTACGATAGAGCTCTACCCACTCAACTGGAGGGAGGACCAGTACATGTCCTTATACACTGTACTGTATTCAAACTGTGTCGGCTATCAGAGTATACAGTGGCACACACATGTGTCTTTGAGAGTGTTTCAAGGCTTGGCAAGACCTCCACCCTACCCACTTACGTATGTAATACACACGACACATCCCTGTAGTTTAAACATCGTAATGACACACATTTACATTTCATCTCAAGCAACAAACACGCAAGATGCGGTACAAACATATCGATAAAACCCCTGATACATGTACTACACCTATTAGATATTGCGGTTTCATGATGTGCACACAAGGGATTGTCATACGCCTACACTTGTGACTACAAATGCGATAAGATGTGAACGTCAGTATTCTCAGGGAGTTCAGTCCTATATGTAGAGTGGATGCCAATCATATCCCTTACGTTCTTTGGCCACTGGCCTTTTACGACACTACGAGAGAGCATTCCTCGCATACAGCACAACAATCCATCCCCTCCCTCACAGCTAGTGAAATAGTACTACTACATATATAGGTATATGTACATACATACAGTGGATCATAGCATATGTATTATTGGAGTGTGTGAATGGACCACACAAGTCATTGACCACAGAAAGTTATGCATCCTCACAAATGAGTAGTAACCAGGGTAGGACTATACTCCTATATACATACCAGTAAAGGAAGCAGCACTATACCACCACCACTTACAACCACAGAGACTGAATGAGGCAAACTACACACACACACACACACAATGAACACCAAGGAGAGATTTTTTAGTAATACCAATGTGAGATGTTTCTATGATCGTTCGAACCGCACAGAGGGACGAAGCAAAACTGACCTCACAATAACACCCTTCAGAAACAGTCCTCAGTAATGCCATAATTTATATAGTTGCTGCCAATGGTTCTATGGTGTAATGGTTAGCACCTGGGACTCTGAATCCCAAGATCCGAGTTCGAATCTCGGTAGAACCTTCTTTCCGTTTTTTTCCAACAACCTTTGTGGGCATTAATTTACCATTACGGACACACATGTCAGGGTGTTTTTCTACAAGGGAAAAGGGGTGGGGATCTTGGCTCCATTCAATCCCATCTTCCCATCTTCACTCCTTCAAACAAGCAAATTGGTAGAGTACACAAAAGACAACTTGGATGTTTGGTTCAACCTAGAGCTCCTTAAAAACCTTCTAGAAAAAACCCTGCATGGTTTTATGCACCGATAGATATCAATAAACTTCTTTACGAAACCTCCTAGATTTACGAGCACAACGGAATATTATAGCAGTTAAGTCCGTGCATTTTTTGGCACCAGTAGCTATAAACGTCTCTACAGGAACACAAGCAGGAGCCGCTCCAACGGAAACTTGTCTACACACACTGACACACCTGAAAAGAAAGCAGGAAAATTTGTTCCTGAAACCAAACGATAACCAAGTGTTTTAGTGGCCCTTTCATGGACTTATCCCTGTCACTAGCTACCATCTATTAATATTCTACAATGATTCTAGAATACTGTGAAAGAGTTCCCTATACCAAAGTGATGCGTGTGCTAATCCACCTTACAGTTTATACCACCTTCTAGTACCTCCATAGGTTACTGTAACTATGTGTAACTTATAAGGGAAGGACTACCACGACAAGGCACGTGATCACAGAGAACCAACAAGACTTCTTTTTTTTTATACGCATACAGGTTTCAGGGCCTTCTGCACACCCAGCTAGCTAGCTACATAGTAAACACGTTTGCACGACCGCCTGCAGCTGTTATGCCTCCTACTAACGCACACGATTCTCTACTCACCTCTCTCGCAGTTGGGACAGAGAGGGAGAAACGGCCAGAAGAGAAGAAGGGGCCCCGGCACTGAGGAAAGTTCGCTGCTCCTTGCCCCGTTGTTTTTATGCCGCAAAATAATGTTATCGTCTAAATAAGCGAAAGTAAAAAGAAATTTCGCACCGTAAATGGCAACGACAACGCCCCTGATTCAACTGGAGGGCGAGAAAAAAGCTAGAGTAAAGTGAGTTTCCTTCAGACGCAGAAAGAGACGAGTATGTCTCTATCACTCGTGCAGGGTCAGCTCTGTGCTCAACAGGGACTTGAGGCAGTTCGGGAAACAGTTTATGTTCGATGGCTCGGAGGAGACGTGCTGGAATTCGGATCAGGTGCAGGGGAGCATGTGATACATTCTTTGGCCTAAGCAGTGTCGTGCTTCTGTTATAGGATTCTGTTATGCCTGAGCAACCCCTATGAGTGCTCGCTATTTAGTCCCTATATTGTGTTTTATGCAAAGTTGTAGCTACAGCTGTGCAGGTATAATATACATCTGTGACAGTACCGACTCGCCCAAAGCTCTAATAATGTATCTTAACTGCCATCCAATGCCTGCATATTGTATTGCAGGGGTCTCCCCAATATGTGAGGGTTGATCTGGGTCGTCTGGCAGTGGTGAGAGAGCTACGTGTGCAGTTCCAGGGAGGATTTGCCGGGAGAGAGTGTGAACTGAAGGCTGGAGGAGGAGGGGGAGGGGAGGAAGACAGGGTACTGATGCAGTTCTACCCCTCAGACACCAACAGTCTACAAGTATCACAGAGATTTGGGGGACACTGCTCACACCAAGGTTGGTGGTGGTCAATTTACCACCACTGGCTTGTATTATATATTATACCAATGGCACTTTAGTCTTTTTGGCTTGTAAGTATAGGCTAGGTTGTGTTTGCCCATCTCTATTCTGGGCATAACCCGCAGCAGAGATATGGAAAATGAACTAGTGGGGAAAGCACCTGGACCCCCTAGTAATTGTGACATTGATTGAGTAAGGGAAGATCACTGTTTCAGTTGTATATATACCCCAGAAGGGAAGTAAAGTCGGTCGAGTTATGAGATAGTTGTATATATATGTATCATTTGCTATAATATAACTGGTGTAAGTCCTTAACCAGTCCAGATATTCCCACTGAATGGAGATGGGGAGCCTACACAGGTGTACTCTGTCTTCTTCAAGACCAGCACAGACTTCTTTGGCAGAATAACTGTCTATTCCCTCCAGCTATATGGTAGCTGGGTTGAAGAATAATAATGCATTGCAGCAGTTTTTTTGTAAGGTGTGTTTCGGCAGATCACCAGTCTTACCTGACATAATATGTGCAATACTTGGACTAGGACTTTGAAGTAGTCTATAATACAGGCTTATGGCTAAAATCAGAGAAATGATACAACGGTTAGCATTCCTGACTGGTGAGTTTCGTGTTGCTCTAATTGCATGCGGTTACCTCCTGACCTGTGTACTGAAACCACTGAATGCGGAGAAGAAATTGGTGGCTATATGTAGCACTGTAGTCAGGTATCTACTGAGGTATCTACTGAGACTAGACAAAAACACGCATTCTTTTAAAACCAGCAACAACACTTAAATACTACAAGAGCTAAGATTATTGTGAATGGTATACTTTAATTGTCAGTTAAAGAAGGGGGTAGTGGGAGGGCATACTGTGTCTTTTCTTCGACATCGTCTCCTGTTGTTGTTGTTGTTGTTGTTGTTGGTTCCCCATCCGCGAAGTCTTCTCCACCACCGCGGTAAGGTGGGACATCTGGTGGCGTCTCGCCATCAATGCTCTCCTCCCTCCTCATTTTTGGACCAGTAGCACTCGCTACTCCATCTTTTGGGACTTTCTTCACGTTGGCATAGAGGGCACTTACATCATCGGGGGTCATGGTTTTCTCCCGATGTACTTTGTCTGCTCTTCCGGCTTGTAAAACCTCTTGTAACTCCATTTCGTCTGCACTCTCTTCATACCGCCGATCCCCATAGAGCGGTATTCCCTCTGGTGCCTTTTGATCAGTGCTTCCTGCTAGGACAATACAGGGCAATGCTAGTTCTGGTGGAAGGTGTGGTAGTTGAGGCTCACTGCTAGCAGTTCCACCAACACTTCCTCCATTTCTTCTTCCAGGGAGAGCTGGAGGTGGGGTATGTCCCGGTGGCTCCAAATGGTGTCGACGACGTCCTGTGTTGATAAACTTGTCTGGTAGCTCGTAAATGGGGGATTCTTTCTGCTGCGTCTGCAACGCCGAGGCTAAATCTGGGGTTAAGTTACTCGGCCTCTTTCTGTTGTGCCTCCCTATGCCCGGCTCCTCCTCAGTTGTTGGTGTTTCTCTGCGTCGTCGCGGTGATTGATTCTGGAGAAGAGCTCTGCGTGGGCTTGGTACGGGGCGCAGGCAGGCAGGAGAGTCGGTGGGTGAGAGACAGTATCGGAAACTGTTATCCTTCTTGCCGAGAGGGAGGGCCTTGTTCTCATTGCCCATGGAGGTGGAGAGGGCTCGCAGGATTTCGTATCCGTCATTGTCTTCTTGATAGTCTTGTAATTGTTTCCACGTGGGGACGCCCCTGTCCGTTAGGTCCTCGGCGCTCTGGTAAAATGGATTGTGCTCTGTTCTCCGGAGGCAGTACATGGACTTGCTCCTGGAGGTCCCTGGAGGGGGGTGTTTGACACACACACAGAAAGTTATTAGTTTTTCATAACGGGCATTGTTGCAATTCAAAAGTGATGCATTGTTATTCATCACATTATGGAAAACTGACAAAACAAAAAGGACACGTACACATGTGCATAAAGGCTAGAGTATAATAGTCTGTTATTCTGTTGGACTTGAAGCACAGCAAACTCCAACTTTCTGTAGTAACACTTGGAAGGGGAGGTAGTTCATGTGTGACTTGTATTATGCTCACGTTTCCTCGCTCTTCTTCTGAGGTAGCCAACCACGCAGAGGCAGAGGGTCACTGCCAGTAGGAAACCCAGCAGGAAGCCTCCAACAGCACTGGCACCACAAACTACCGATGTGTCTGTCCCTCCACTGCCTGGGCGGCTGGGCTTGTCTGTAGGTCTTGAGGAGGCCACTGGCACTGCTGGTTCACACAGGAAACAAAGATGAAGTAAACATACTTGGCATACATAGCGAGGTGGTAGATTTTTATATGAGGCCTATATAGCTATGCATTATATGTAGCAAAGAGGTGTGGGACTTAGAAGATATGGTCATAAAGTTAGTGTGCTAACTCATTACCGGATGAAGAGTGGAGCAGTGTTGGTTGTGTGGAACTGCATGGGACTTCCGGTGAAGGTGTTGGTGGCAGTGAACTGCTGCAGTTCTGCGTTACCTAAATTTAATGTACAGTATCTTGAGAGTTCTGAACGTTTGCAGTTATACTGCACCTCAACGGTGATGGTGGTTGTTAAAAAGACACTGGTTGTATCAGAGATACTCGTTGTGGTTGTGACTGTTTTGGTAGGGGATGGAAACTCGGTTACTTCCTACGGTCGAGATTTATAATGGTGGCAGTCTGTACACAATGTAGCTACACTTATATACCTGGCCATCGCAGCTTGTGTATGTTTGATCCTGACAGTAGTGTGTGATCTCGGTGATCCAGTAGCTGATGTGGAGCTCAATGTACCCACCACAGAGAATAGCATCTGTGAAATTATTATGCTTGCTGCGAAATATACAGTCATCTTGCATGTCCATAACATCAATTGAGAATGAAAAATTCTTTATTGGGTAGTCATCTTCAACCGTCACATTAACAGAAGCATTGTTTTCCTACACAAACACACACAATATTAAACCAGTGATAATGATGTATACCTACCATCCAGACACTGTCATTTCCATAGAAGGGGTAGATATTCCCAGGGAAATGGATCAAATCACTGTTCTCATACACTGGAGTGGTGTAACTGAGCTCTGATCCAGTCGCAGTGATCGTGAATAGAGGATCACATTTAGTGCATGTTGAATAGAGTGGAGGACAAGGAGAGGCCCCCGGGTCATCACAACATGCACCTCCACTTCTTTGATTGAGAGAGTTGTGGTAGGACTCCAGGAGAACATTTAGTCTGTAGTCTCTTGCCTCCACCATGCACATCACCTACAGCACAGTGTAGCTACTACTACACAAAAGGAGCTAGAGCTATCTGGTTGTGTATATATGCCTATGAAGGTGAGACTGTGCTAGTGTAGCTACTTAGATTATACTAGTATCTCTGACCTTGCAGGCCATCAGCAAAAGTAGCCACATCTTTCTTCTACTATCAAAGCCAGAGCCAAACCTTTCTTCACAGCAGTTATGTGAAGGAAACTCAAACGGAAATAATAACCAACTCTCGGGTATAAAAACAGCCAGATGTCTTACATAGTAGCTAGCTACTTGTAACTGTATACAAAAACACAATGAAAAATCACAGTAAAAGAGCATGACCAGAGTATATATACATAATATAGTATTACAGCTTTCTCTGCCTGTACGCATTGCCACCATTATTGAGGGGTAGTCTTGGGCCCAGACTACATTGGAGTTTGCAACACAGCAGCTATTAATTCCACCACCCATGCCCACAAACAGACCTCGCATAATAATTCATGCTTAAGCTCTGTCGTTAAAAATTGGTAAGTAAATCCCATCAGTAGTCAGATATAAAAACAGTGATGTTTTATTATAAGCATATATTCTAGCTATCACCTGAAGCATGAAATGACACGTGAGGAGATGGAGTGTATATTATGGGGTATAATTAGTGAGGTGAATGACTAGAAGAGGGGTTTCTCTCGCGGGTCATCCGGAAGGACACTGACATTGGCACTACCGTGGCCACACAGGTGACACTTCATGGAGTAATCCTGCACAGTGTGTGAGGAACAACAGTAGCATGGACAATGCTGAAAGTTAAAATGGGAATCACGCGTCAGTACGCAAGGGCTAAAGTTAGAAATGTTACTAAAGATAGAATGTAACAATAGGGTCCAGTGCAATTAAGTTTATGTTTTAGTATATAGCAGTTTCTAAATTTAACTTCTGCCACATGACAGATCTGCCTATACTATAGCTACGTCCTACCCTGACATGCGAGCTCTTTTCTATTCCTAGTTGCTGATTTGGGTTGACACACCCCTGGGGCTATGTTATTTGTGTCCTTAGCTACCTGGTAGTCTCCACTGGTGGAGAAGGTGTAGTGATGGGTGGCCACAACGTGTTGGCACTCTTTACACACATCTGAACGGAACAAACATATGGAATTCTCAATACTAGTTCAGTGTTCCGTCTTTGAAGACTGTGAAAGGACCACGTGTGCTGTTGCAAACACCAGGATGAGGTATGGTTTTTGATCCTGACTGTAGCTATTATGTGTTTACGTTTGAATGAGATTGTTTCTTCCTCCTCTTCTCCGTCTCCCTCATTCCCACTGTCACCCTCCATCCCCTCCCCACCTCCCACACTCCTCACCCTCCCCTCCTCTCCAAGGAAACCCCTGCTCTGGCACTTGCAGCAGCCGGCGTAGTTCAGCATGTACGCCCCTCCCTCCAGACACGTGCTGCCCTGCAAGAAAACACCACAGAGCATCTTACAATCTAGAGCTGTATCCACCATTACTAGCTAAATTGTGTGACAGAGAGAGTTAGAAGATACAGAATGACGCACTCTGTCGGGCATTTTCTCCTTGAGACAGTCAGTACACATCTTTTTCCGCTATAAGCTTACCGTTCTGCTCTATTTAGTGCGCACCATAACAAGGTGCGCATTCATTGGAGAAAGAAACTTGGAGAAGGGGGGCATGTCTGAGGAGACCTCGTCCACTGTGGGGGATCCGCAGGGCAAGAACTTCAGGAGAGCCTACTACGAGAGTCTGCTGTTCCGAGGAGAAGAGGAGGAGAAAAACGTCGGGTGTCTGGAGAGCCTGCTGAAAGCAGCATGCATCGGTAAACCGACTGTTGTTATGAACTGTGCCGTTTTCGAAGCTCTCACTTTATATGTATGAACGTATATTATACAGACGTGGAGAGTCTGAAACAGTTCTGCCAGAAGAATACTTTGCCTCCTTACCACCGTCTCCAAGTGTGGAACATTATACTTGGTGAGTTTAATTAGGCTATATTTATTATCTAGAATGGGCATAGCTATAGCTTGTATGTACATTGTATTGATGGGATTTATTTAGCTAGGGGTCTCCCATATTGAAGGTGTGGTTCCTCCATATAATGACGAGGAGACTTGCACACACGTCAGTCGTCAGAGAGAGGTGCAGTTTCAAGACCTCCGACGTGCTCTGTTTGTCTCCCTATGCCACCCCTCTTCACCACCACTTACCATGGAAGGCAAGAGTACTGATAATCACCATGCATACGGCAGCAAAGCACATCAACTGGGGGAAAAACATTATTTTAATGAGGGTCATCTGTGTATAATGTGTTCTTTGCCAGGGAAACCATATGTACAATAAACAGTGGAACCTCTTATATATAAAGGACATCGAATAATGGACACCTCTCTCTATGAAGGACACTTGTTTTGATCTCACGCTAATACTTTAGCGAGTACCCCTGAATAAAGGACAACTCTGTATAAAGGAGAGTTTTTCATGGTCACAGTGTGTCCTTTGTTAGTTTTGTGTTCGCTCACCATTGAGAGTTACCCGTTATTATGTTTGCGTCTGTTTCTTACCCTCTCACTCGCCCTCGTTCCCTCACTCTCTCCCCCCTCCCTATCACTGTGGACAGGACCTGGAGCAGTCCAGAGAAGCGGCGACTGAGTCCAGAGCAGACTGGTACTCATGTACCTCCTCCAGGGAAACTGTCTCCCGACCTCGGGCAGTGTGGGGAGAGCTAGACTACTGCACAGGGACTCTGTTCCGTTGGCCAGAGTTTTTCTGGAGCTGTGCGACCACGACAGAGAGGCTTTCTGGCTGTTTGCCCGCTTCAGGAAATGATGGACAGTGTTGACAGGTGTTTACTGGTGAGCACGGGGGCAGTGTCTCCAGTTAATGATTTGTCCGTCCTATGATAGGGAATGAAATTAGGGCTAAATTTAGAAACTGGTACTAAACCGGTAATTCTTTTACCGGGCAATATTATTTAGTTTCTGTAGATTCACCCCTTATGTAATGTCATATATTCCCTTTAACAAAATTTGGAAGTTTGATTTACGGGCAAAATAAGTAACAGAAGAGAAGAGCCTTCAAGAAGGCATTGCAAGCATTATGAGTCAACATTATATAGACATAAAAGTTTCACAAAATCTGATGCTGATGTATAGATCGTAAGTGAGCAAAGCAAATTCAAAAAGCAAAATTTAAAGTACGCCATTTTCCACTATAATGTCACTTCTGTTCTAATTGCTATTACATCATTTGTCCCATCCAGAGAAAGACCTGCTTCCATTATGTGGGGAGAGAGGACTCTGCTCTTTGTACCCACCTCTCTGGTCTCTCTGATGGAATCCCATTCTCTCTGTGAGCTCTATACCCATCCATCTTCCTCTTTTATCTTTAAGAGGGGATGCCTGTTGTTCCTTAAACATACTCACAAAGCATACTCACACAATGTGAACTAAATGGATTGAGATCACTAAGTTCCCAGTCTATCTAATACACTAATCTACTTGTACTTTGTGCTAAAGAGGACAGCTTATCCAATAGAGTATATACAAGGATAGGAGTCAGGGTGTATTTGGGAATGACCGGGGTGCCATTTCAAAACTTCACCATTGGTTGAAGCTAGACCTCTTATGACCTGGAGTGTGTGTGTGGTCATGCAGTTGGTTCAACCAGTGTTTTGCGTCCACTCTGCCTGAGACCTGTCTGGAGGGAGTGTGGGACAGACTCATTGGAGGCTGCGTCATGATCCTTGTGTTCCTGGCCGTGGCCATCCTCCTCACCTTCAAGAGAAGGCTCCTCGGAGCTAAATCATCGTCTGTTGTTGCTGATGTACTCACTCAGGTGATTGGCCGAAATACAGTTGTCTATAATGAATTCCCTTTCAACGGCATTATTATAATGAGTTGATGATAATGACTTTGGGTATTATAATATGTACATACTAGTGTGTGTGTGTGTTACCCTAGATCCCGGAGGAGAACTGTGTCCTGATAGTGATGAAGGCAGTGGAGCTGTGGGAGGCGAGTGGGTGTCCTCTTCTCCCCTCTCCCTCCCCCCACCTCCCCCGTCACGGACACAGCAACGACTGACTGACTAGTGGCCCTCTCTTTAGCAGGCTCCTGGCTTGCTGGCTGGTTGCGTGTCTTATTCAGGACAGTGTGTGTTCATATTTTACTCCCGTTTTATAAAACAAACAAACTGTGTGTTCGATATACACTTGAGAGAGAATCATAAGCGAGCGAATAAGCAACAATGGCGCTGGACAAACAATGTGGATGTGTACTATGGTGCGTTTTGAATTGTACTATTATAGATGGTTATTGCTGCCAATAATGCACTTAAAAGGTCCCTTAACAATTGCCATTGCTCATTAAGTCCAGCAATTTCAGTACGTGATCCAAGTTCTTGCTAACTTTCCTCGCGCCTCGCCTCTATCTCCTGTACTCATTCCCTTCAAAAACAGCAAGTCTTCTAGCCTCCTATTGTCAGGTCTCTTGTGTCTCGTCGGTATCTCAGTCGCTAGCTTTCCCCTGCCACGAGGTAATGGCTCCCGCTCACTCCTGGAGCTCTGAGTCTTCTTTTCCGGTGTCTGAGGCCGACATGGAGTAGTTCGGAGCAAGTTGGGCAGCACTGCTTGAAAAGGGGACAGAGTTTTTGTAGACATCACCGGTTTTCCTTCCTCTACTTTGCCTCTGTGTTCTGCAGTCTGTCTGGTTTTGCCAAACTCTGTCAAGCCTTTGTGGAGGGAGGAGGAATTCACTACAAGACCGGCCACCAGGGATTCAGTGCTTTCGGCATTTCGTTTTCTTACGTATCTCTTTTTCTTGGCTCTGGCAGATCTATCGGTGGGTGGTTTGTGTGAGGAGAATGAGTGGCTGGAAGAAATGACCAGTGGAGGGAAGGAGTCTGGGGTCAAACGCACTCCCATTTCGTACACTGATTGCGAAATGGTGTGGGAGCTGTTTTTCACCTCCCTCATCAAATTTCTTCCAGTTTTTCCTAGGAGCAAGTTTGTTTTCCTGCCAGATTTGTTGTCTGGTGGTTTTTGCCTGTTGTAGTTCCCATCTTGATGCCTGTGACTGAATTTACTATAGTATGCTGCCATCTCCATCGTGTCTCTGCTGGCAGTATGTGGGTGGTTTGAAGAACACTGGGTGGAGGTGTGGGTAGCTCTGCTGGAGTCGGTGGAGGTGAGGTGGCTGGTAGTGTGCACTCCTCCACTGCTCCTTGTGGCTGCTAGAACATGGCTGGACCTCCGCTGAATGGGTGTAAAAAAGATAGTGTGCAATTCTCATAGGAATAAACATGCTTGCTAGGTATGTATAATTATACCCACAAGTATCGGGGGGAAAACATGTTGACCTGCGTACACAAACTTTCCACTTCTAAACATATCAGTGAGGTTTTACGGTAAGCAATAGCATATTATATCATGGATTTCGATTAAACCAGTCTATCTTTGTACTACCTGAGTGGCCAAGTGGTGGCGTGAAGACTGAGACGACATCGAGTCCTCCATCAAAACCTGGACAATACTGCTGGGCCTGACTTTAGCCTGCCACCCCCTCCCTCTCCTCCCCCCACCATCTTCCCCCAAGTAACCAACACAATCCGGACACTTTTCTTGCGACAGAGATCCGGCCAACCTCTCCTCCATTTGTGGGTACGTATATGAGGAGAGATAGTGCTCCAAGTGAGCCAGAGAGATGTCATTTAGTCCCCCGTAGCGAGGATGACTATGAAGGTCCTCCATGATAAAAGGGATGTCTGGCACGTCTTTGTACAGACTTGGTTTGTTACGCGTGGGTTTCGAGACACTCTTGTAGTTGGTGGCTGTTTTAAGGTTTATTTCTGGTCTTGTTTTGTTCATGGTTTGCAGAGACTGGTTTGGTTTGGAATGGCTTGTTGGAAAACCTTTCGTTCGTGATTGTGATCTTTTGCACCTTGCGGTTGTGTCAGATTTGTAGAACTTGGTTCCTGAATGGCCCAATCTCCAGCTGCTCGAGTTTGCCCCACTACTAACACCTGACAGTGCAGCAAAGTCTGCGTTTTCGCAGCTGGTGGTTATCACGTGAGCCGACCACGGATCCACAGGTCGTCCAGTCCACCCGAGAGGCAATGAACCCTCTACACTGCTGCCAGATTCACACATACAGTGGTATGTAAGCTCTGCTCCGTCCACTAGGTCCCATGACCTCCTATTTCCCCGCATTCTCCTGCTCCCGTCCCTCTTTTTGCAGCTGCAGGTCGGAGCAGCTCGGCCCTCTTTCTTGTCACGCGTGCGCAGTAATACGTCAATAATACGCATGCGCAGTGAGGCAGGGCCCAATCTCGTTCCTAGGCCAGTCTGGGATCGAGACGGAGGTCTAGGTGCACGTTGGAAAAATGGCGCAGTTGGAAGACCAAGACATTTTCAACGACGGCGAGGTGTATGGCCTATTGTTACGCTCTTACCTGTAGCAATACTGTTTTATCAGCGCCACTACTAATATTCACAGACTCCTAGTGAGCTTGTGTGTGTCAGAGTGTGCCTCTGTTCTTGCAGGAGGCGCTGGGCGAAGAGGTATTACGGATGAGCATAGATGAAATCATCAGCAGAACCAGACTGCTGGAGAATGACATCAAGGTCAGCGTACTTTGAAAGATACCTAGTGGCTCTGTATTCTATTTGAAGCCCACCCCTGCTCTATTTGGAGCCCATCGCTCACTCAATTTGGTCATATTTTGCCCTGCAATAGATCATGAAGAGCGAGACGTCTCGGATAAGCCATGAGCAGCAGGGAATGAAGGAGAAGATAAAGGTATATATATGTGTGTCATTGTAGGTATTGAAGTATGTACAGGGTTCTGCCCAGGATTAATTTAGTGGTGGCGAGGTAAACAGTCCTTCATTGCGCGCGTAAATGCGCATGCGCGGAATTAACGCGTACGCGTGGTTTTTTCGCGTTCGCGCGTGCCTTTTTGTTTGCATGTTTATACTTAGTGTAGGCGCGCATACGAAGCCCAGATTCGTTCTTCGAGTGTTAGAAAGCCAAGTGTCATCTTAGAGCCGCAGGGAGGCCACGTTTCCATTGCAGATATTCATTCATCGCTCTTAGATGCGTACTATACGGGCGGAAGGCACCAGCCCCGCCTTTTATTTAGGAGTGGTCGGGAGACTTTCAGCGGTGGTCGGGTTCATACGGCGGTGGTCGCATGTGACCACCGCCGACCATCGTAGGCAGAACCCTGATGTATATACCGTGGTGCAAGTTTTGCTTTAGACTGGCGTCTACAATCTTTGGTGGCGGCCATAGCACTAGGGCCATAGTAAGCATGTGTAAAGTCATAAGTTATAGCATGTGGTCTTTTTGGAACACAATCTTTAGTGAAATTTCAGCATCCCTAACACCTATGTGTAATATTGCTCCTGCAGGAGAACTCGGAGAAGATCAAGGTGTTCAAAGTACTGCCGTATCTCGTCTCAAATGTTGTGGAGGTCCGTTATATCCCAGCTACTCTGTCTTTGTTGTACACACATATGTACACACAGTACTGCAGTGTAGTTTTCCCTGAATTTCTTGAATCTCAACCCAAACCAAGTTTGTGAAGTATATATTTTGCGAGTCTACTACCACTCCCACTTTTTTTGATCCACACAGACGCAAAGTTTTGAAGGAAAACCCATGAAAATTTGATGGCCTAGTTTTCCAAGTGTTAGTGTGAGAGGTGATGATGTGAATAAATGATTTCCGTTCTCCTGACTCAGTCAGTGTGATGATATCCCATTACCCTACTGAACCTCTGCAAATAATACTGTATTGTGGGTAACTTCGAGGAAATCCAATTCATAGAAAATTGTCCAACATACATGTATGGCCTGGTGAATTAGAACTGGGCTATGGTCTCAAATGATGTTTGGAACTCTCTCTCTCTCTCTCTCTCTCTCTCTCTCTCACACACACACAAAATAACTTGTAATAAACAGCCCATGCTCACCATTTTCGCGTAATAACTTCAAAGTATGATTGCTGTTTTATTGGATGACATCATGTGTGAGTGTAGTGTGTGTTGCATTCTCCGCAGTTGCTGGACATCACCCCGGGCGACCAGGAGGAGGAGGAGGGAGGACACATGGACCTGGATGCACAGAGGAAGGGGAAGGCAGCTGTTATCAAGACCTCCACCCGACAAGTCAGCTATCTCCCTCCTCATCCTCATCCTACCACACTCTCTGTCTTCTTGGCTCTCTCCTCCCCTTCCTCTCTCTTTCTTCTTCACTCCAATTTATTTCTCTTCTCTCTCTTTCACTCTATCTTTGCCCCATAGTAGTGAGGCTTACAGTATAGACGTTTTTCAGTATACTCTTCTGTGTGTGTGTGTGTGTGTATGTGTGTGTGTGGGTGTGTTTGTGCTTGTAGACATATTTCCTGCCGGTCATTGGACTAGTGGACCCAGCCAAACTCTCTCCTGGAGACCTAGTGGTGAGATTCTTTTTAACCCCTTCCCCACTGAGATATGAACTCCCTCCCCTCCCTGTCTATGGTGCAGGGTGTCAATAAAGACTCTTACCTCATTCTGGACACACTGCCACCAGAGTAAGACTTTCTGCCTTTGTGTTGTGTTGTGTGGGAGATTTGAACTCCTACCAGCTGAGTTGCCCGGGGAGCTCATCCTCTCTCTCTCTTCTCCTGTTAGCAGAGTGTCATGGGTTCGATTCAGATCCCACTTAGGTCCGCTCTCCTTTTTCCTTGGAAAAAAGAGTTGTCCTGGGTGTAGTTGACTTGTTTGCCTTTGCCGTGCTACCTCACCTCTTTAGCTGGGTTTGAACCCTTTTCCCCTCCCCTCTCCCTCCCTATCACTCTCCCCCCCTCCCCTCTCCCCTCTCCCTCCCTATCACCCTCAGGTATGACTCCAGGGTCAAGGCCATGGAGTTGGATGAGAGACCCACAGACCAGTACGGAGACATCGGGGGACTCGACAAACAGATCGAGGAAGTGCGTGTCGTACTACACTCACTGGGTTACACTAAAAGTTTTGGTACACTGTTATATAATTATATCAAAATTGAGGCACGTAACTTTTAAAAATTTTACAGTATCTTGTTGTCGCATTACCACGGCACAACTGCATCACATGCTCATGATGTGTATGTATCATGCCACATGTATTGCGTTGCTATCCTTTGTGACACATTTGTTCACTGAGCGTACTACTGAGACTTCCAGCTGGTCGTTTATTTCATCCTCTCTCTCTCTCTCTCTCACTCTACTGTGGGTGGTGACAGTTGGTAGAGGCCATCGTTCTACCAATAACTCACAAGGACAGGTTTAAGAACATCGGCATCCAGCCACCTAAAGGTTAGTCCCTACACAACAGAAAATCTGCGGCGTTTTGCCAACTTGTACATATGTATCTACCTGCTGTATGAGCATGCAATAAAGTCATATACACAGGCAAATATGTCGGCCTGATCATTCACTCTCTGATCATTATGCCAATGTTGCCCCATTACACATGCTCGCATATCCCAACTTTCTTCACGAAAATACAAAATGTTGTGTTGATGACTTGCGATCCAGGCATGATATTAATACACCGTACTTCACAGTTTAGTGAGTTTATTCGTTTTGTAATATGCTATGCTGGCAACAGGAGTACTGCTGTATGGTGTACCAGGGACCGGTAAAACTCTGCTGGCCAGAGCATGTGCAGCCCAGACTAAGGTAGGGGTAGGGAAGAGAGAGAGAGAGAAGTGAGGTGACATTGCTGGTTTTCTATACATGTACAGAGCACGTTTTTGAAGCTGGCTGGACCTCAGTTGGTGCAGGTTTGTTCCTAATGTAAATATCAAACGTAATATACTAGCTGTCCAGAGCTCCGCATCTTTTTTCTCTTGGCATCACATGGTCTATTGTTACATATGTACACAAGAAGGTTCTTAGAGCTGTTAGTGGAGTTAGCATGAGTGTGAGAGGTGATGATGTGAATAAATGATTTCCGTTCTCCTGACTCAGTCAGTGTGATGATATCCCATTACCCTACTGAACCTCTGCCACTGCTCACTGTCAAATCTCCCACATTGTACTGTGTTGTATAGCCGGAAATGTTTGTGTGAAAATCTTTCGTGGTTAGGGAGTCAATCATTCGTTAGTAGACAAGCAAACCGTTAGTTTTTCCCAGATATTCTAGTAGCTTGCTAACAATTATGGTAATGCAGTGGTGATAGTCTCGCTTGAAGTGAGATAAAGGGCAAGTCTGTATTGAAACTTGCACACAGATGTTTATTGGAGACGGAGCTAAGATGGTGAGAGATGCCTTTGCCTTGGCCAAAGAGAAAGCTCCTGCAATTATCTTCATAGACGAGTTGGATGCCATTGGAACAAAGGTACTATATATATGCACGTTACATGTTTTCATGGGTCACTGCTAATAATGGCGAATACCTTAGAGGTGTGTGAATGATTTATTAAAGTTCTCGTATTAAACTGGCTCTAAATTATATCGGCATCACAAACCTTTCTTTGGCACAGTTTTCAGTTTTTCAGCTAATTTGTGCCATCACCCACAGAGGTTTGCTAGTGAGAAGGAGGGAGACAGAGAGGTACAGAGGACAATGTTGGAACTCCTCAACCAACTGGATGGGTTTTCATCTCACAGTGACATCAAGGTCTCTCTTTCTCACCACCTCCTCCCTCCCACTTTCCTTCCTTGTCCACCAAACCCCTTTCTCTCTTTCTCCTCTACCCTCACTCCTCCTCTCCTTTACCCCTCCACTTCCATTACTCTATCCTCACACTCCCTAATTTCCCTTTCCTCCCACCTATTTGTCCTTCCTCCCCACCCACTAACAGGTGATAGCAGCAACTAACAGAGTGGACACCTTGGACCCAGCTCTCCTCAGGTCAGGGAGACTCGACAGGAAGATCGAGTTCCCCCTCCCGACAGTCGAGGCTCGGGCACACATTTTGAGGATCCACTCTCGCAAGATGAACGTTAGCTCTGACGTCAACTTTGACGAGTTGGCCAGGTACACTGTTAACTAGCTGGTCCACAGACAATCTGATCACTACATTGAAAAAATCTATGAATAAGGGGGCAACAAAATTGTTATTCAGAGGTTCCCATTTTCGAATTTCAGAGGTAATGTACTAAGTCTGGGGCAGAACCAAGTCTCCTTTGTGGAGAAGTGGAGGGTCCTTGTTCGGAGGTTACACATACTGCTGTGTTGAAGTTTTAGCTACGTCTTCGCGGCGAGCAGGCCAAGTGTCTGTGGTACGAGCAGTTGACCTATTATGTGCATACACGCTACGGCTAGAGATATTTGGTGGTCGTAAGAGTGTTGCAAATTTCTCTGCTGATAGTATTATAAAAGAGGGGTAAAGGGAAAGGGCAATGATGAGATGTTCAACGCTCTCACTGATCCTCCCACCTAAACAGGTGTGGGAGATGATTAGCTTCCATGCTAATACTGAGCCACTTACCCTGCCCCCCATCTCTCTGTGTTACTCTTACATATAATTATACTGTACCATACGTGACGGAAGATTGCACAACTAAAACAAGTGCGGATGTATTGTGTTCAGAGCATTGGGCTTGCAGTATTTGAAGTCATCGATGGTTAACGTGTTTAGTTTCAGCAATATTCCTGCTATATTTTGCAGATGGAAATTTTTCTTGGATCAAATTTATTACCAAATGTTTTCTTATGTATGTACGTTTATTCTTCATATTAATGCCATAGTACAAAATGGACCAAATTCGACCCTACAAAAACGAGGATATTAATTTTAACTCTCATTGCGTTCTCACTGTGCCTCCAGGTGTACAGATGATTTCAATGGGGCCCAGCTGAAGGCAGTGTGTGTGGAGGCTGGGATGATAGCTCTGAGGAGAGAGGCAGAGGAGCTGGCCCACGAGGACTACATGGACGGTGAGAGAGTGTTGAGTATTGAGTGAAATGTTTCAGTGAAAATATTTCATGGTTGGGCTGTTAATTTCAAGCAATCACATTTTGTATCCTTGTTGCTCCCCCAAAAGTGATTGGGGAGTTAACTGTTTGAGGAGACAAGCCGATTCTAGCTTTTCACTGAGTAGCTAGAGTTGATCTATACGGCAAATAAGAGGCTTATTATGTGTAAGTATATAGGAAAGCGGAGAGTTCAAAGTGCCTTTTTTGCCCAGTTTGGAGCCCCATTGAGAGCCAGCTGTCTACCAGGCTACAGTAGTCACTCTGTCTGTAGTGGGAGACGGTTTGGAGGGAGGAATGTAGTTGAGGGCCACAGTGCAATAGTGTAGTGCATACTTTGCTGCTAGATTATAGTCTAGATTGTGAGGGACTGTATGTATATGCCAGGATACACTGGACACTGTAAAATGGGGTACGTTTTGAAGAGAGAAAAACTTACCTTTGGGAGTGCAATAGAGTAGTGCATATATACTGTCCTAAATACTAGATGGTGAGGTGCAACTACATATCATTATGCCAGGATACGGTACACACTGTATATATAGTGGGAACGTTTTGAAGGGAGAAAATTGTATTTTGAGAGTCATGATATTGGTAGTGCATAATTGGTTCAGATAGTGAGGGACAGCAGCTGTCTCAGAGATAATATTGGGCAGTGGAAAATGTATTGGAGGGAGGAAGTGGTTTCGCATTCAGGGCCATAGTGCATGCTTCCCTGAATAAGTTTGAATGGTGAGAGAGATATAGGGTTTTATGTTTCTAGGAAAGGGCATCGATGGTATGTACTTCCCTGAGTAAGAGGGTGAAAATGAGTTTTCCTGGTGTTGTTTGGCTTTGCTTTGCCTTGCAGCTTTGCATTTCCATGTGTGAAGGTTTTCTCTGAAATTTCAGAAGTGAGCAATCCTGCAATAGTTCTCTTTCTCTCGCCACCCTCCCCTTCTTTTTGCCAGGAATTCTTGAAGTGCAAGCTAAGAAGAAAACTAATCTTGTCTACTATGCGTGAGCCTCAAATCTTCTCTAGCACCTGACTGTCATGTGACAGTCTCTCATCTATTATGACATCATATTGCATCATTCTGTATCATAATTATAACTCTCCTGTGTTGTTGTATGAATGTGTTTTCTACTGGCAGACCGGCAAGTATTATAGCCATTGCAAGCAATCTCATTTTACTGCATGTATCCTCGTTGCTCCCCCAAAAGTGAACTGTAACCCCGCACCCCTTTTTGCAGTACTGTGATTTCCAGCCCCTGTTTCTGCGATCACATTTGTGACCAGTTCACACGTGCTCAACTACGGGTCACGTCGTATCCCTTGCTGGTAATATATTCGGTCTGAAGGCCAGATTAACGTAACTAGTCAGGGGTGCAATGAGAGACACAGAGCCTCTGTAAGAATTAGTCTGCTATCTTTCTATGTATATACATGTGCAGCTGCGTAATGGGCATTTGGTGTGATGTGCTTGGCTCTGGGTTGTAAAGATGTGCCATGAGGGTTGTTGACCTTGTATAGTCACATGTTAACAAACTTACAGCTCTAGACAAGGAGTAAAAATGAACCATCACACCACATGATCTCCTTAACATGAATACAATACCCCCAAAGCAATGGACATGATATATACAACCTCCACACTTTGATTCCAGAAATTTGAACTGCTATTGACATAGCTATAATATGGATGACACGTCCTGGAATCCATCATTAGCTCGGCGAAACGTACATTGCATCATAGCCCCATACATCTATGATGCTTAGGTACCATGCCCATCCCTATAAAGTAAGTCCTTTCTGCTGCAGGAAACAACTAGCTCTAAGTACGCATGCGCAACCGCACATTGCGCGCGAAGTCTACGTCGACGTCTAAGTCGATCGCTAGCTACTAGCTAGCTAGCTAGCTAGCTAACTAGCTCTAAGTACGCATGCGCGGCCGCCGTGCATGCACGACGTACAAGCCTATGGTGGTGTAGCTAGCTAGCTCACGACGTGGAGCTCAGCCAGGTCTTAGCAGCAGGGTTTTTCTCCACTATCACGTGTACACGACACGATGCTGCACCAGCATCTTTCTCACGTCTTCCCCGACACGGCGGATACGGACGATGCCGGCCATCTTACCCTGGGCGGCTGCGATACCGTGCAGTTGGCCGAACAGTACGGGACTCCACTGTACGTCTTGGACGAGGCAACACTGCGCAACCGCTGCCGACAGTTCTCCAGCGCTTTCGCCGGGAGCTACCCCAATACCGGGGTCGTGTACGCTTCCAAAGCGGGCATCAACCCGGCGCTGGTTCGCATCTTCACCGAGGAAGGCCTGGGTTTGGATGTTGTGTCCGGCGGCGAATTGGCCATGGCCGTGTCGGGCGAAATGCCACTCGACAGAGTCTACTTCCACGGCAGCAACAAGTCGGCGAGCGAGCTGGAGGAGGCGGTGAGCGCCGGCATCGGTCGCATCGTTGTGGACAACTTCCACGAACTAGACCTCCTGGAGCAAATTTGCGCCAATGAGGGTAAACGGCAGGATATTCTGGTGCGAGTCTGCCCCGGCATCGACCCCCACACCCATGCCTATACCACCACCGGAATCATCGACTCCAAGTTCGGCTTCTCAATCCCAACCGGCGACGCGGAGCGCGCCATTCTGTGCGCCATAGCAGCTCCGCGTCTAAATCTTCTGGGGCTACATTTCCACCTGGGGTCGCCCATCTTTGAGCTGGGGCCTTACACACAGGCCATCGATCTGGTGCTACGGTTTGCAGCCGGTCTTAGGGAGAAAGGTCTGAATCTACAGGTGTTTAGCCCCGGCGGTGGGTTCGCAATCGCTTACACCCGCAAAGACAAACCGCCGTCCGCTCGCGATTATGCAGACGTTATCGTGAGTGCGTTGACTGCTACATGCGAGGAGTTACATATGGAGCTGCCCAGACTGGTCGTCGAACCAGGGCGCTCCATCATCGGCCCGGCCGGCGTAACCTTGTATCGCGTCGGGGCCATCAAGACAATTTCCCGGCGTCCGCACGTACGTCAGCGTGGACGGCGGCATAAGCGACAACATTCGTCCGGCTCTCTACCAGGCCCAGGTACGAAGTTCTTTCAGCAAACCGTTCGATCGCAGAGCACGACTCTACTGTGACGATCGCAGGAAAGTGCTGCGAATCGGGCGACGTACTCGCCTCCGGGGTCGAGCTCCCCGCACCTGTAGCTGGCGACGTCATCGCCGTGCCAGCCACCGGGGCCTATTCCTCGTCAATGGCCAGCAACTACAACCTGAACCCGCGTCCACCGATTGTACTGGTAAACGAGAGGAAAAGTCGCCTCATCCGTCGCCGCGAATCTTATGCTGATATGATGCTCTGCGACCTTTAGTTTGTAGACACTTTTACACAACTTCAGCAGATTATTTATTACTCCGACTTCAGATTAGTTATTTCCGTTCTATATATATTATATTTCCGTTGTATCATAACATTTTAAAATGATAGGTATACCTTCAGCAAAAAAAACATCCGTGGGAGACACCTTTGTGCAAGTTGATGAAAAGAGTTTCGCCCTCAAGCTTACTAATATATAGCTACTTACGTAGCTACTACGTGCATAAAGTTTACTGTGCCCTGGACAAGTACTGTATCACTATTCTCAGAGCCCATTGCATTATTATGCAGGTAAAATCTTTGCACAAACATTTGATACACTAAATAGCTTGCTGTCCTGCTATTAAACCAGCTGTGTCCTTCTGATTTGTTTGTTTCATCCCGCTGCTATATAGTTACACATGCGTCCTGTTGATCTGTCCTATTATCTATTTGAATCCTTTTCCTCTTTGGCTGTTTCCATCGCACTCTTGTCTCCCTCCTCACTACCCATTCCCTCACCACCCTCACCAGTCCCCCTGCTAGTAGCTCCATCTTTTCTGCCAGTATCTTCTGCTGGTGTAAATGACTGCTGCTCACTTGTTGACTGCTGGTGGTGCTGGTGGTGGTAGGCAGCCATCATTTGTCTGCCTACCTCCTGCAGCTCTGCCTCTGTGCTCCCTGGACACAGAACCTCCCACCACCTCCGCCCACTCCTGTCATTACCTTCACATTATTAGCGGAAATTTAAAGCAGTAAATTTAAGGGAATGTGGCAGTATCAGTATTATTATCTGCTGGCACAAGGCACGGGGCCCTGGTAGTAGCGCCCTGGTGGTAGCGCCCTCGCTGCGCTCGGGGTGCCGACAGCCCAGGTCCTCGGCTCACTAAATCGCATAGTTCCCGCGGCTCCGCATCTAACCTATACATAGGACTCTTATATAACAAGGAATAGGCCTTCTATTTGTCAAATACACAACACTGCTGTTTCGTGTAGCAGACTGCTACTTATTATAGGAATCCTATTTGTCATATAGGAGTCCTATATATTGAGTAAGACTCCTGTTTGTTAGCTATATAGGAGTTCTATAGCACTCCTATAGAAATCCTAAATAAATAAGTAGCAGTCTGCTACATGAAACAGCAGTGTTGTGTATTTGACAAATAGAAGGCCTATATAATATGTAAGTAGGAGAGTTGAGAGTTCAAAAATGGCCTTTGGCCCCATATATTGCAGCTAACCCAACTGAACTAACTCGTAACCTACCACCTAGCTAAGGCTCACCAGGAATGGGTAGTCTGGAACAGAGGACAGCTAGGTAGAGGACGGCGGTGGCCAGGTGGTGTGGAGAGAGGGAGAGAGGGAGGGAGGTGTGGTAGGTGTCCTGGAGGAGGGAGAGGGAGACCGAGGGCAGACAACATCTGGTCCAGGCTACTGGGTCCACCCACCGAGACAGAGCTAGCAGGTAGTGGAAGAGATGCTGAGGGAAGAGGTGGAAAGTTGGGAACTGACAATTGAAAGATGGCAGAGGATACTATTGCAACACATTATTGACCAGCAAAGCGAGCCTATATACCTAGTCGTATGAATTGTAAAACACTCGCAAAAACATAAGCAAAATTTCACAATTGTTGCTACATGTACCAGTAACTATCACGTGCCACAACATCCATTTTAGTACTTAGAAAGTCCAACAGCATATCCTTTGAGCCATTAATGTACATGCGGTGCAGTGCCAATCACATACATACAAATAACTCCCACATTCAGACGACTAAGCAGGCTTGCTTTGTTTGCCAATTAGGATAATAAAGTAGAGCCTCACTGAGTGTGGCATGGCGATGTAGATTTCGAATCTGAGAGCTCTGAGGAGTAGCAGCTCATAGCGAGCCACGCTGTCCTTGAGCTGCCAGTACACGTCTCCCACCTCCAACATTGGTCCACACCGGTGGAGACACCTGTGGGATGGGATGGGGGGTGAGGCGAGGAAGGAAACAGAGAGGGAGGGTGAGTGTCTATAGAAATGCCAGTGACAGAGTAGACGTACTGCTAGCTTTCTTTCTGCTGATGCATTCTGAGAACCTCTGTATAGAGTCGAGTGCTACATTGGGCTAACGCACTGTTTTTCCACCATGTAGTAGGCAACGATGGGACTGTTGCACATACTGTAATGACCCATTGCGTACGTACATAACTCTAATTTTGAATTTTCGCAATTGTGTGTATGCTCTGCGTGCATTTGAATCTAACATTTGCCCAACAAAACTGTGTTTCATTTTGTCCAAGTATATACTAATGGTGGTGCCGGACCTGTAGCAAGTGTTGACCACGTCACTCAGTTTGACTGGCATATCCTTGGCCTTGGCAGCCAGACTCAGAGTTGCCATCACCACCAGCTGTGAGACAACACACCGCACAGTACAGGTCACACTGTATAGTCACATGCCTACCAAACTACAGATAAAAGAGATAAAATTGCTTTGAGAAAGGATATTGCCACGGGGCCCACCATAATGTATGAACCTCAGGATTTCACAGAAAAGTGGTATTTTCTGTTGGGATAGGCAGCATTTAGCTGGATGGCATTCCTGCAAAATGTACACACGTGCTTATTAGAGGAGCTGCATGTGTATTGGTCACACTCTCTGGTCTAATTTACTCGAGACGAGAGATATCCGGCAATGAGCACTAACTCAGCTACGTTCTATGGAAAGTGCACAGAGTGTAGAAGCTATTCCCAGTTGTTCCCTATACTCACGCTCTCATTATAGTCTTTGCTCTTCATGACCTGGTAGAACTTCTGGTAGTAGACGCACGCCGTGGCAATACTCTCGTCACAGAACCTCAGCTTCACTCCTGAAGAGTTTGACTAGATATAGGATACTGCTGGAGACACGAATGACGTACCTGCTTCGAAGATAAACCGCGTTCCTTTCGGTCGACTGGAACTCGCCATTTTTTTCCGTTATTCCAATAGGTGCGCACCTCATAAAGAGGGTGGGGCTAGGGCGCCGCACGAGAGCTCGGGCTTTGTAGACAAATGACATGGAGATAATCACAGGTTGAGCTACGTAACTAAAAAAAAGTGGTCCTGTTTGATAGAGCTAGATGGCATATTATGGCTCAGTCAGTCTGTGTGTGACGGTCGTCGCATTACTTTCTGCGGGAGTGCTGCTGCAGTCCGGAGTATTCAGAGGCCCAGTCGGGATGGACGGTGAAGTGAGACGGCTGCTGGCGCTGACTGGTGGTGAACATGCCTCCCTTGGCCGCGCCGCCGCCTTTCTCGGTAGTGGAGCTGGACCTCCGGTAACGAGATGTGTGGGAGGGAGACGTCTCCTTGTCGCTCATCCTGCCAGCCCCACCACCGGCCCTTCCCTCAATCCCAGTTTCTCTGCAGCGAATAAGAGGGAGAAGTTTTTAGCTAAACCTACATCTAAACTAATCTTTCATCCCTCTCTCCCAAGAGTAGTATACATAATATGCAGTACTTAGTGCCACATTTCGCTTCACTGTTGATATAGCTATCTGTCTTGCCTGGACATTTGCTTGTAGAGGGACTGTATCTCTCGCTCCTGCCTCTGTTTGCGAGACGGAGTCATGACGGCAGATCTGGCCCGCGATCTGTGGAGGGCAGCTCGAGACGCTGGATCCGGCCTCTTTCCGTGGGAACTGAGAGTCCTGAAGAACTTCTCTGCAATCTCTTTATCTGTATACATACATGTTGCAGGGTAGCTATTCAGAATAAAAGTAATGTGCTCAGTCTCCAACCTAATCATGCATGAATGCCCTCTATAAGTTCACCACTACCAATACGGATAACTGGTTACCAAACTCCTGAAAAATGACATTTGGATTGACGTGTGGAAATGCAAGTGTCACACTTTCCAGGCAAACTGCTACCACATGGCGAGATTTTTTTGTTGGGGAAAAATTTATTTCTACTACACAGTAATGATTATAAATCAGCAAACGACCCTACCTTGAAAACAGTTTTCATTAGTAAACGTATGATACAGCATTCATACATAGCTACCTTCATTGGTGGCTGAGGTGAACCAAGTTTCAACGGCTGGTACCACTTCAGGGTTGAGGCTATCGTCTAGAGTCTGGAGAGAGAGGGAGAGAAAGAAGTGTGACAAGTGAAGGGGAAAAGAGAGACTTATTTTGCTGACTTTCTGAAGTGCTGATCTAGGCCTGTTTGCTTGTGCTGGAACAGGTATAGCTGGTAGAGTACCGACTCCTGTGTATGTACCAACAGCATACATAATTTCTTGTCCTAACAGCATGGCTAGCTATAGTGTAGTACTATAGCTGGTATGAGATGTGGGACTAACCAGAGAGTCTTCTAGTAGGAGAGGAATCAAAGTGCTGAAGATAACCCAGTTGCTGTGGGGTCACTTTCAGCTGTAAGGTTAAAACAAACAGTGGACAAACGAACTCATTGGGCCCCTCAGCATGCGTGCACAACGTGTAAAAATTCTCTACTCTGTGTGAGCCACTAATACCCAGTTTGACAAATAAAAAAGTGATAAAAGTGTCCGATATCGCATACCGAAAGGACAATGGTAAAAATAATGGGATGCCTGCAAGAGTTGAGTGATGGGCGAGGGTTTGTATATACTCACGCTGGAGTCTGACATTCTGCGTTGACGGTGTTGCTCAATCTCTCTCTGTCGACTGTAGACCTTCTCTTCCCTCAGAGCCCTCCCCAGATCCACCCCTCGTGGTACCACTCCTGAGCAGGGGGAAGGAGAGGGAAGATGAAGAGCGAGCAAGAGTTTCGAAACAGTGGCATCGCAAACAACCAATAAACATTGCGATGCAACAGGAGGTAGCAAACAGCACTGAGCATTGGTTTTACAGCCAATGTCAATAACATTCAGACAAAACCGGATGGCAAGATGTGCAACAGAATACATTTGATGGAAACGTATTTCTGAGCTCTCTGACTCACTTGCAGGGTCATATACCAGGCCTTGTAGGGCATTAGCTCTGTAGATTGCAGGGTCGTACTTGAGTTTACTCAATTCACTTGTGGTCAGCACTTCGTTTCTTGCATCTCCAGCTAAACAACAGAAAGGAGTTGCGTAGAAAGCCAGTGCAAAGCAGGCTATGGGTGTGTATGTATAACTACAGGTAAACTGCTGTGCACTGCTTATATGCGCCTCACTTGTCCTGGCCCCAATGTAGTCGTCATAGAACCGCTCTCTGACGTCACTCTCGTATTCGACTCTCTTTTCTCGGCTCAGTTGCCGCGAGGGAGGACTCCGCCACATCAGTTCTTCATCCTGACACACACATATTATACCAGTATAATTATACAGAATAAAAAAACCTGTCTCAATCCTTGGCCAGCGCATGCACGAAAAAGAGGGGTGGGGCTGACCACTAGCTAGAGTATGCATGTGCATGCACTTTTAGGTGTCCGCTTGAGCACCCACCATCTTGGGGTGATAGCCCTGTCGGGACTCCAGAGGCGTTCTGGGCACTCTCAACTTCTGTGGAGTTGGCTGAACGGGCCTAGCCGACTGCGCAGGGGCCGCGCTGTCCATTCTTCTCAATATCGAACACTGGTTGGCTCTGCTACCGACCGTCTAGGCTACGTCTACGTACATAGCTGCAATCGAGCCCTCGGTCTTGGTAGGCCTGGAGACGGAGTAGCGAGGGGGAGTTGAGTAGGAAATTGGGAGAGATTCATTGCCGAGGACTCTGCTCTCTGATTCGTCCGCACCTGCATGTTTCCCTGGTGAAAAACTCTCGGCGCACGAGACTTACGCCGCCGGCAGGACGATGAATGAGTTGCAAGGCTTATAGAGTCCAGTCCAGGCTGTACACAGGCAGGGCTGCACGATCAAGAGCCTATATAGAAACCGAGATTGAATTTACTCGGCAGCTATAAAGTAAAGGTCCAGTGGAGTAATGAGCTCGGGAACGGTAAAGCCGCGGCGAGTTCGCTCGGCCAAAGCGAGGCTGACTCCCACGCAGCCACCCTCCGGTCTGCTAACGAAGGAAGCGCTGGAGAGACAGGCCTCGGCCAAGGCCAACAGAGACAAACACAACGGCTCGGAGAAGGTGTTCCCGCGCCCAGGATCCCGCAGCTCCAAGGAGAGATTTTCCACCATGTACTCCAAGGACTTCGACGGAACCTACGCACCTGCGGCGGAACTGAGGCCAACGTCTCCCACTCGAAGACACAACCCTCACCCAGGGAAGGTGGGTGGGCGAAGACGATGCATTACCAGCCCCTCCCCCTTTTCCTTGCATCAGCTCGCGGAAAAGCGAAGGGCTATGGGCTTGAATAACACACAAGGGGGCTAGCAAAGTGCATACGCGAATGGTATACCTAGCTTAGCTCTCAGCCTGTCATTTTCCTCCCCAGCAATTCATGGTGTGGCGGCTGCCTGACAGAGAGATTGGAGTGCCTCAAGAACCGGAGGGTCTTGAGCTGCCTCCTGAATACATCACCAGAAACAGCGGTGTGTGTCCATGTGTGTGTGTGTGTCCATTTGTGGCTGACTCTGTGCATGTATATTGCTCCAGCTATTGGTGCCAGAGCAAATTGCATGCATCACACTAGCTAGCTACACTTTTACATAGTTGTGAAGGTGTTTTTGCAGCCCATGTATCTTGGTCTCTTGCATTCTTGCAGACTTTGATGCCATTGAGGATCTGCACGGTGGCCTGGGAGCTCTCAAACTCCCACCTCCCCAGCCTACCAGTCACGAGTACGGAGCCTACCTCCGACAGCAAAGACAGCAGAGGGAGGCCTGTAAGACACTGTGTCAACACTCCACTCACCTGCACTTAGAAAACTCATAGTTCTGTTATCACGTTGATAGACTCTAGCCTAAAGGCTTGACAACATCAACCTACAAATCTATAGGATTCGGATTCCCAACTTGTTACTTTGGTTCACTCTTGTTGTTGTTGCTCCACATGCAGTGCAGAAGCAGTTGCTGCAACCCGGAGTCAGGTCACACGCTATGGGTCCTGAGGTATGACAACTGTAGGAACTTGCCCTGCTATATCACACACAACTTGACTGTTTGTTTTGTGGAGCTACGTATAGTAACAGGTTTTACTGGGGCTTTATGTGCAGGTATTGGAGAGGACAATGAGAGAAGAGATGGCCCCCAACCTCCAGGAATGGATGCAGGCTGCAACTCCTGAAGGTCTGTGATGATGCATTACCAATGCACCAAGTGTCGATTTATTCTATCTCTCTCTGGTACAGAGAAACACACCATTTTGAAAATGCTCAAGTCAGCAGAAGATGCCCAAATGGATGAGGTATATACATAAGAACCACACACTCACTATTAAGCCTTTTTTCTCTCTTTCTTCTTTACAGACCATTAATGATGTGATGCAGCCTTCTGCAGCAAAGGCTGTTAGAAAGTGGATGAAAACAGCTGACAATAAAGGTTACACTCTCCATGCTACACAGCTATAGTCTACATATCATACTGTGTGGCTTTCCTTCCAGAGCGCCAGGTGGCTGTCCATCTGTTTAGCTCTCTGGGGCCTCGTGCGGGACGACCTCGCTCCATGTCTGAGCCGTCAATCCGTCCCCTGTCTCGCCAACCTCTCCCTCCCTACCTAGCCCCTCCCCCTCCCCTCCCTGGGTCAGTGGTAGCTAAAATTGTGTCATATTAACTATATTATATCTGTGTGCTATCAGTGTTAGTAACTGGCTGTGTGCTGAGAATACTAAACAGTTTTAATGCCTAGCTATATAGCAAGTACCATACAGCATCAATGCAGAGAACACCTTTATGCATTAGTGTTCCCATACATTAAACATGGGAAAGAATTTCAGTAATACAACGTGACCATGATACATAAACTTCACTTGTGGCAGAATAAAATGATAGCACTTGTAAACTCTTGCAGATTGCGCTTAGCTAGGTATGCATAATTACAGGGAGAAAATTACAACAAAAACTTCAACGATGTGCCAAAATGAGATTGTCAACATAACTACTTAGCAGTACATTACAGAGAGCACCAAAAATTAGCGTTTGTGGTTTTGCTCCGAGTATAAACTCCATTTAGTGCACAACGTCACTGCCGAGAGACGTTCCATAGTAGTCGGGCCATTCGGGGTGCACATTGTAGTGAGATGCATCACTGATGGGTCATAACTATTTTAATCTCATTCAAAGGTCTCTAAAATATTTTTTACCACTACAGGAGTGCAAGAGGCCAGCGACTGCAGAGCCGACAGCAAGCCTCGAGAGGCGGGTCCCGTGGTGCCCAAGCTCCGCCCCCCAAACCCTGGCCGGCCGGACTCTGGCACCACCTACCTGTGAGGGACCCTCCGCCACAGGTCTACCACAGGGGGGCTCTATTTGGAGGTGTCCGTGGCGATGCATCTCACTACAATGTGCACCCCGAATGGCCCGACTACTATGGAACGTCTCTCGGCAGTGACGTTGTGCACTAAATGGAGTTTATACTCGGAGCAAAACCACAGACGCTAATTTTTGGTGCTCTCTGTAATGTACTGCTAAGTAGTTATGTTGACAATCTCATTTTGGCACATCGTTGAAGTTTTTGTTGTAATTTTCTCCCTGTAATTATGCATACCTAGCTAAGCGCAATCTGCAAGAGTTTACAAGTGCTATCATTTTATTCTGCCACAAGTGAAGTTTATGTATCATGGTCACGTTGTATTACTGAAATTCTTTTCCATGTTTAAATGTTTAGAGTCACTAAACCTCAAGATAATAGCAGAACCAATTGACTGTATACAAATTAACAATTCTATGATGCTACAATAAAGACACGACATTGATATTATAACACATATACAGCCATAAAACTCACATGAATAATTATTTATAACAAAGAGCCTTCTCAAAGACACAATGACAAAAATAGGTAGCTCAAGAGGGCTTTAGCTAGAGTACAGTCTACGCCGTGGGCCACTCTGGGTGGATGGCAAAGTGTCTTCCTCTGTATTTGTGCGGTTGGGTGAAGACTGAGCCTGGAAAGATGACTCTCAACTCCTCGGTGACTGGACCAGGGATCTTGTGGTGCCACAGCTCTGGGGTCCCGCTCCCCCTAACACACCACCAGAGAGATAGACATAATTACTACTGACACTGAGTGAATATCGGTGAGACTGAAAACACTTTCAAGCAGTATAAATGAATTACAGAATTCCTCTAATCTGTACACAACACCACACATCTGTGCTAGGGAATTCTTAATTCAATAAAGCTAGAGGAATTCATGGCTTGTATGCGAGCCAAAAGATGCCTCCAATTAACCAAAGGGAAGTATGTTCATAGTGAGGCATCCTAGGTGTTCTTGGCAAAAGAGAGATGTTCTTTTTTCGGGGCGTGCCTATCATGCATGTACCCAACCTCAAAAAGGAAGTCATTACACTACAGGAGAATAATGCAGAAGAAAAGTATCCCATCTGCAACTGAAGTTTTGGACCTACAAATCCAACCAGCTATCTATTTCTTACTTCTTGGCTCCCAATCCCTTCCCCACCAGTGTCATGTCTCCTCCACCATCATCTTTCCCTGGCTGGGCCGAGCTCTTGTGAGACTTGTGACAGTGGTGCTTGTGGTGATGATGGTGGTGGGAGTGGTGGGAGTATTGTGAGGAGGTGTGGGTGTGGTTCTTGTGATGGTGTGATGCCTTCGGACGAAGGCTGATGGGATAGCTGTAAGACCTTTTGAACAGAGCAGAATGTGTCACCAGATAGCAACTTATCATGCTAACTCTTTCTAAGTGGTACACTACTGTTCTGTAGTCATACATGGTAGCTAGCTGGGTTGTACTTTATCTGGTGACTTTGGAAACTTTCTACCTGTAACACTACTTTACTTCACGTGCTGTCATGGTTGCTAAGACCAGGTTTACTACGTGTTAAGTCAGTCCTGGTGCACACTTAATGATAAGTTCGTAGTGTTGGCCCACTGATGAGTGATGAGGTATACCAAATTAGCCAGATATCATAAGCCCACCTGTTGCGGTTGCTGTGGGTTGGGACTGGCTGTTGTTGTAGCCAGGAGGCAGGAGGAAATGCCACAAGAGCAGGCTGGTGGTGGGGTGGTTGGCCGGCTGAGGCAGCCACTGCCAGAGTCTCCAGGACCCCCAGGAGAGTTTGTCTCTCTGAGGTGGAGGCTGTCTGGAGCCACTGCTGGACGTGAGCTGCAGAGTCAGGTCTCAGAACATCTTCCACCGCCTGTGGGGAGATGGCTCAATCACTGCATGGGTCATACTGCTGAAGAGCTTTTTGAAGGAGAAACATTTTAGAAAGCCTATAGGTAAGTGTTTGGGGGAAAGAATTTGCAAGCCCGGTCAAGTATAGCTAGCTATAAGAAGTGTCTTCAATTTCTAGATTCATGCTTTCTCGCTAAAATGTTGAGCCATAGGGAATGGTATAGGACCAAGTGATTCATCTTGTTGTACCTTTTGAAGTCTTGTATCCTCAGAGTCACTGTGAGCTGCAGTTAGCATCTGCATTACCAGTTCTCGCTCTGTAAGACACGCAATACACACATATATCTAATCATTCAACCAGTGGAGCTGTACCTTTGTTTGAGGCAGTTTTGAGCCACTCTCGGAGGACAGGGAGAGTGCTTCCTCTGACAGTGTTGTGCATCATGCGAGACTGTATGTTTACAGAGGAAAGAGAGGGGAGAGAGATAGGGGAGGGAAAGAGGGTAGAACTGTCTGAATGACACACGTATTACCTTATCTATCATGTGTAGGGAATGTACAAAAAAATTGACAGTGGTAGTAGCTAAAGGGCTAGCTAAATCAGTGTTTCTCAAAAACTATAGCTCAGTATAGACATGATTGTCTGTTCAGGTTTTGCACGACATTACACAATGGTGAAAACTGGGCTGGTATACCTTGGGAGATGGAGGTCTAATGACAGCAGGAGGTATGTCTCCAGATCCGTTGTGGACTCGAGAGTTTCTTGGATTCAGCTGTGCTCTGGTCCCTGATACAAGGTGGCTGGACAAGGCTGGAGGCAAGAGAAAGATCCATGTCATGGCAAGGATGCAAGGCGAGATTTTGAGGCTTACTTCCGGTTTTCTTTTTTCCAGGAAACTCGATTGTTGCTAAATTGGTGACTGGAACTTCATTCTTGGCATCACCAGCTGTGCAGATCACAATTACCTCTTGCCCCTCCAATAAGCAAGCAAAATGCAGGTGGACTCACTGTTGCTGGTATCAATGTAGTCGTCATAGAAGCTCTCACTGATGGACTTCCAAGCCTCTTCTGGTGGGGAGACTGACTTCTTGTGTGGGTGAATGCGGACTGGATGTTTCCATTGCAGGAAAGGCTACAACAGGTAGATTTTTTTTCAATAAGAAACCGAGTGTGCTGGGTGCGAGTAAAAGTTCAAGGTTTCAAGAAAGCTGCAGGCATTCACCCACAAACTCATTGTATTGTTAGCTATTGTTGTGTGAAATGGCTACTGCGATATTTGTCAAGATCTTTGTTCTGCTAGTGGTTGAAAACAGTATAGGTATAGCTGATGGAGGGAAAGAGTGTCCTCCTACATCATTATTTTGACTCATCTGGCTAATTATACAGTGCATGTGGAAAGCGGCGCGCAGGCATAAAGTGGGCAGGGCTGAATTGCGAGTTGCTGAGCTCATTAACTGCACCTTAGCGGGGTGAGGGTTGTTTCTCCTGGTTGGAGAGACGGGACGGACGGGAACAGGCGTGAAGGGGTGCTTCTTCCCGAAGTCGTCATCGTACTGTGTCCGGCCCCACGCTCCCTTCCCCGCGCCGGGCTCCGCCGGCGGGAAAACGTCTGATCTCTCTTGCTCCAACTTTGTGTCGCGGGCCGACTTGACGCGCCGCGAACGACCCTTCTTCACCACGAGATCTTCCAACGCCGTTTCCGCTACCCCTCCTTCCCTGCCGGCGGAGCTCGGCACTAACGACGTAGAACTCTGCAACCGTCCGTGCGCAGACTTACGCCGCAGAAGACGCACGCTAGTTTCGGACATTATTTTCCTCCCAGCTCGTTTGTTGGGAAAGGTGACTGACGATGCTTGCGTACCAAATGCAGCTGAGGTGTTTATAATCCATAGTCGTCTCGGTATTCACGTTGCGCAGATGGACGAACGGCTTGCAATTGATACAGCCCCCGCTTCTCAAGGCCCTATTCATGCTAGTGAGGAATTCAGCGATCATCATTCATTATCGACCTACTGTGAATCAAGACTCGTCAGAACGTATTTATACATTGCAAGAATGTGTGTATTGCGCTGCTGTCGTATAAAACAAGTACAACAAGAAACACAAAAAGGTTTTTTTTAATGCAAGATGTTGTCCTATATACACACCAAAATGTCCAGTTGCTGCTCATGTAGTAACATAATGTGTGAAGTAAAATAATAATTGGCACGAAGACACTATACAATAGGGTGTCCCGCATCAACTGCTATGCCACACGTGTTCCTGTCGCGCACCATGTGCATATATCCATCAATTCCCCATCCTGTGCCATAGCTGTTAGAGGGAGGAAGGGAGAAACGATGGAGGGAGGGAGAGAGGAAGGGAGGGAGGGAAAGAGGAAGTAAGTGACAGTATCCACAACTCCAATGAGGTCGTAACACCTGTTCTTGAGGATCCAGTATGGAGTACTGTTGGGGTTAGTCGGTCCGTAGCCCACGACAACCATCTCATGAGTCAGCTCACTGTAGTACGTGCTGCACATGTGGTTATTGTAGATCCCACTGCTGTAGAACTGGAGAGAGGGCGCGAGACAAGACCGAGTTTATGCATTATGCATTCCAGGGTGTATACATAATATAGCTACACTGGACCAGTGTATGAAGTTATTGGTGCTATCCTACTTTATAGAGGTATATATACACAGTGGATTCAAAGTATGTGCGATGTGATAGTTCATTACAGAAGTACAATTTAACTGTATTTCACAGTTTAATAGTGCTGAAGGCTACAACAACTACATAGCTAGACAAACCATGAAGGTTCTGGTGCGATGGTCAATGGAGACCAGGACTGGTCCCTGCTCGGCCACCGTTTGCAGGATCTCGTCTTCCCCTCCCTTGATTATCCTGTAGTAAGTCATACTTGCTGCTTCCTGCATTCCTCTTCCGTACTTACACGTCCCCTCCTGCAGGGAAGAGAGCCGCACTACTCATACTATCTATACTTCTCTCCAGGCATTGGCCAATAGCTTCATGCATGCCATGCAGCAAAGCTTGTTCGGTATAGTTTTCAGATAAAACTCTTTTGTACAAACTGCCTGCTTACAAAATTGTGCAAGTTTTTATTCTTTTTTGAAAGTCCAGCCACATGAATGTAAAACCGTCCCGGTTATTTGTTCTAATAATAGGGTTGCAGCACAATTGTGCTTGTGCTTGTCCTTTTAAGTTTTTAAATGTTATACCACAGATCGGTAAGGGTAGTTGGTGTCAGAAGCAATGCCATAGTCCATGATGTACATCCAGGCTCTTCTGTAGTTGCCACCACTACACCCTCCATTGTAGTACATCCCTACACAATATTATACACAGAGAGACAAAGTATGTATGTAAGTAATTATGGGGGCAGCCCACATTACAACATATTTGAGTAGGCGTACAGGTCTACATACATTATCACACTGTGAGAAAACAGTGAGAACAAGATAATTGAAAGTTTGTGAAAGAATTTTTTTGCTAACTAAAGAGAAGTAGCAAACAAGGTGCCAACTATATATGCATGTGTAGGGTGGGTGTGGGTATAAGATTGTGATTTCTTTTTTGATAATCCCAGCACAACAGGGGAACCGGCATATGTGTCAGGGTGGGTGTGTGTGCTACCATGTACAGAGTTGTTTGGGGGTTGCCTTTGGCTTGCAGTCTGCTGATCTGAGGTGTATATATAGCTCAAGTATGAGAGCGCTTTGACCAACAAGCAAAGTACAGTGGGTTCAAGAGCAGTTAACTACCCTAAGTTGTTGCTTTGCACTGGCTTTGCCTTGGCACCCTATGACCCAGCACTTACTTGCTTACTTTGATGCTGCCAAGGGCCAACACCAATACATGTTTGGAGCAGTATGAATTGACCATAGAGCGTGTATATACCCTTTCCACCATTCATGTACTACAGAGTACGATAATAAAGACTCCCCGCTTCAGCATGTGTTCCTATGTACATCTAGCTAGTATGTCAAGTGTCCGGGAGAGAGTGAATGGGGCACAAAGTATAGACAGGACCATTCATAGAGATTGGAACATACAATTCTCTGGCCCGGCCTGGGGCTTGTCTTTCCCACCAAAACAACCCCATATCTATACCAGACCTCATCCCATGTTTGCCCCACACTATGGGTGACAAGTTTTTGAGCCATGAAAAATACTTTGGGTGACAAACTTGCAAACCAAATGGTGGTTCTGCCACTCAATTTTAAAGGTTCACATTGTCCTGCATAAATTCACTTTTTCTCTCTAAAATGGCGGATATTATATCAAGGCTATCTGTGCTACCATTGGTTGCATAAAGCTGTAACTGATTTACAGTTATTCAACAGACAAGTCTTCTGAGATAGATATAATTTATATTCTCCATAAAACTTGAAACGAGGATTAGAACTTATATGTGAGACAGCTATAGCTAGTTGCAAAACACTTAATTGCATTCGTACGTTCTCCATAGTACACCCTGCCTCCTTCCCTTAATAATTATTTATGTGATTGTTTTTTTTACTTACGAGAGCAGTCGAGGATCTGCTGGGCACTGAGAGAGAAGAGTTTCCCTGTCTTTATGGCGTGGGCACTCTCTAGAGCTGCCGTGGAGGCAAAGGCATAGCAGGAATGGCACCTGTACTCGTACTGTGGTTCAAAGAGAGAGAGGGGGGAGGGGTGGGGGGGAGGGTACATTGTCACCGTGTTTTTGCGTGTGCTAAAGTATAAGACATCTGGTAGGTCACACTTTACAAGTAAAGGCACATCACACACTAAAATCATTATACATTACGTTACATGCATGATGCCTGGGTCATCAGTTTGCCATGCAGAATCACAAGAATCAGTGTCTGTCAAAGTGCACAAACCACCGAGCTACAACTTCGTGACAAACGCTGGGCAGACAAGTAAGAAAGACAAGAACAGGGGATGGGCGAGACCGAAAAACAGAGTAACGTAGGTTAAGACCAAGACAAGAAATCCACATCATCAACAGGCCTAGTCAGTGAAAGTGTTGCCACTACAGCTGTTCCCTTGGGTAAGTAAAAGTAGCGATAATGGGAAGGCAGGAAAAAGGTGGGGGAGTATAATATGAAAGTGAGAAAAAAAACACGGGACATACCTGGCTCTTGATCCTGGTGACTCTGTGTTTCTCCCTCCAGTCAAGTGCAGAGGGGAGGGAGGATGTGGAGGAATTGGAGGACTTGTGGTGGTGGGTGTTAGAGGCTGCTGGGGTTGTTGTGTGGTTGCTGTCCAGCTCCTCAGGTTGATGACACTTGTAGAATGTGGTCCACTCCTCTAGAGACTGTGCAGGGGGGGAGGTGTTTTTAATGATGGTGGGCTCATAGAAAGCTTCACTAAACCCAAGTATATATAGCTATGGCATGTGTTAGATGGCCAGCCGGACAAATTTAGCTATGTAACAATGCTTTTCCCTAATGTGCCTTGATGTGAAAACTTCGCTATGCAGGCAAAGCAACTGACAACATTGGCTATTGGCATTTCTAGTAGACTAGTAGACCATCATTACAGGCTCTGTAAGCAACTAGTACATACAGATCCTGCACCACTGCATGTGTTCTCTATACCAGCTCTATCTACCACTGGTGTTACCTACCATGTCTCCAAAAGAGTTCATCTTTAGTGTGAAGCCGTGTTTGTCAGCCTCTGTGTTGTGGCCATCAATAAAGTCCAAGTTATCCTTCCAGACGGTGTAGCGCAGGGCCTCTTCCTCAGCCGACAGATAGCTCTTCCCTGCGCTGGATTTCCAGCCTCTCCACTGCTCGGCGTACACGCCCGACGTTGGAACACTCTCAACAGTGGCTCTACCACTGCAGCAACTAATGGCCGCAAGCACCAGCCACACATTAACCAAAAGAAGTCCTCGCTGCAGCAAACCAAGTTCCATGATCGGCAGGGAAATGAAAGTCAGAGTGTCAAGATCCCCCAAAATGAAAGGGGACGAGAGGGTAAAGCTCTACTTATAAATTTCGACGACCGAGTGGGGTGGAGACAGGGTCTCTGTAGACTTTTCAGCAAACAGCAGACTTTCCACTTGAAACCAGTCACAGGGAGCTCGAACAAGAGACCAACTAGAGTTCACAACAACAGCAGCCACGGAAAAACACGAAGTGGGACCGCCGAAAACAGCAGCATATTTTTTATCCTCGCTCGCAGTTCACCCAAACTACAGGAGGACACGTGTAAAACGGAGGTGTACCAAACATGAAACTGCGTGCCTCTATACCTCGTGAATGGACGCGGAGAAATGAAAACACGCTGCTGACAGGGGAAAACTAGTGTAAAGAACAAGATTGCCTATTCATTAGGTCACTCCTATACTTTTGTACAGGGAGGTTCTCTGAGTGTAGACAGAACAATAGTGTGAACACTGTTCCCACACTTCAGAGGGGTGCATTAGCCTATCCCATGCTCGGATCTGCTGTCCATTAACTGGAGTAGAAACACAATGTCGGACACGGTCAATCAGACACACATGAATGTACACATCAATTAAAACGGGGTAAGCCCACACTAACACACAGCACAAAGCTCTCCACTACACAAGCATAATACAGAAAGCTAAAATATCTGTTCTGCACTTGCAGGCTAAAAATACAAGGAAGTGGAGTTCAGATACCGTTCCAGGTCTTCTTGCCCCATCAAAACCTAGATGACAACAATTTTCATGTCGCCAGTATGCATCAGTAATGATAAAGGGTTGCTTACACCAAGAGTGTAGGCTGCGGCCTGAGCCATCTGCTCAAATATGACTTCATTCACGTTGTCATAAGTATCACAAGCCTGCAGAGACATGTCATTGGAGAAAACCGTAACACCACCAGTTCAAAAACTAGAACCTGTTATCAAACCAGTATATATGTACATTAGTTCAGTTTGCGGCTTTGTGGGGGAATGGCATCTACTACTGTTGTGGAAATTGGTTCACCATAAATTCGAGGTCAAACTTTTTAAAACTGGTAAACAACCACAGATAGTGTTAATTAGACCTGGTGATAGCAGGGGTCGAGAGCTGCATTGGCCAGTCCTCCGTACACCTTCTGCTGTTCCTCAGTCTTTCTCACCTCAGCTCCAGTGAACAGCCCTCCAGCTAGGGTATATGCATTGATATACACCATATGACATTTACTAGGGTACATTGAATGACATTAACCATTAGAACTCTTTATGGGACGACACTGAGGGAGAAAATCTTTCGCAGTTCAGAGGCAAATTTAAGATTTTTGCATTTGTAGAGTACTTCCTGTCACACAAAAATCATGCCGTAAACCCTTAAGTTGGCTCTGACAATTCTCCCTCAGAAATGACCCGCTATTTTGGCATGTATGAAGTTGAGGTGTGTGTATGTTGTTATGCTAGCGGGACCTGGTATTCCGTTGGCAATAAAAGGACCATAGTCTGAGCGGCCGGTGAAGTCAGTTAACTCATACTCCAAACCTTGTGATCTGTATAACACATCACCATTATAGAGACTCTACCACTAGACTGATAATTTATTACTTGAATCTCTCTTCAAATAGTCCTTGAATGATAACACTTGCATCACGAATAGATTCTTCAGCCTATTAAGTTAGAATATGCTAGAGACTTTTATACACATTGTTGACTTACCTGTGATCCATTGTAGATCATTCGAGCATAATTGGGTGAACCCTGTGTTGATTGAGCTCACATGATGTCTAATACTTAGCTATAACAGAAATAATTTCGGCAGAGAAACTTTCCAATTTGTCAGCAAAGAAGAGAAAAATTTAGCGGAAAAGCTTGCCTTGTTGTTAATGCCCACAAAACGTACATGGTTCACTCTCAAATAATAAAATTCGTGAAGCGTTCTTTAATATTATATTTCCTCTATTATGATGAGTTGGGTAATAAGGAACTCACAATCATGTCAAAGTTGAGGTCACAGGCAAAGTAAGGAAGCTCCTCCCCCTCGTCAAGATTCAAAACGAAGTGGGTGGAGCCAAACAGGCCCAGTTCCTCAGCCCCCCACCAGGCAAACAGAACCTGACAACACACACACACTTGCACAATGCTTTCGTTAGTCTCGCAAACCATACGTTTTTTAATTAGCAAGGGAATAACAAAAATGAATGCCTCGCAAGATTAGTTCTACACACACAAAGACCGCTGCTGCTAGAAAGAATGACTATCCTAATGGCATTAATATTTACATTAACCCCACTGTAAGGTCAGAGTGTACGATATTTGAGCCCATTAGCTATAGAGCTCCACCAAGGGCAAAAATTTATAACACATTCTAGTCTGTGGACCTTGTTCGGTAGAGAGAGTCCAAGTTTGGCAAGTTGAATGGCCATCTCCAGATTTGCAGATGAGCCACTCCTACAAACACGTCATGGTTCAGGTATATAACACACACAAACACACGCAAATGAGGAAGCAGTGAGGGGGCATACCCATTATCATTAATTCCAGGACCTGCTGGTACCGAATCCAGGTGAGTTCCACTCTAAGAAAAACAATTATCCCGTAATTAGCAGGGACAGGGCATTTCATGTTACTGCATTTGGCTTACTACAACGATAGAGCTGTTTCTGCCAGCTGATGTGTAGGCCAGTACATTGTAGGTATCATGCTCAGTAACACTGGTGGCAGTTTCAATTGCTACTGACAGATCCTGTGGAGAGGCAATAAAGATTAGATATGCGCATGCGCGCGCGATCTAGCGACATACATCACGTGATCACTCATGGCTTGCGCATGCGTATTGAAACGCTAGCGAGCTATACAAGCTGGCAAGCTGCACAGAAGTCGTTGTTGCAGACATTTTTCGCACGAAAAGGACAAAAAGCAATGTCGCTGTACAAGCCTCTGCTGTTGCAACTGTGCATGATCGCAGTGTTTGCAATCCTCGCGGGGAGACTCCGTGCGCAATCGACGGAGGCGCCGTCGTCCGAAGCCTGCACTACGGGACCGGCGATGATTCAATCGAACTCTATCTTCGTCAACGGTCGCCAGTACCTCAGCGACTCTGGCGAGGTGGCGTGCGACGGGCACATCACCGTCTGGCATTTTTGCCACTACGTCATCGGGTTCCGCCACCTGGAGATGGAGCTGTGGGCCGGAGCATGGCGGCTGGAAGGAGACACGTTCAGCTTAGTGGGACTCAACGTTATTACGGTAGAGCCTCCTGGCTTCGAGGAAGACCAGCTTCGGTGCATGGAATATGAGGTCGACCCATTCGAATGGATAGAGGCTAAGCAAGGCGACTACATCGGGTTTTATCTCCCGGACAACGGAGTGTTTGTGGCCTCCGCGTCGCCGCAAAGCGACCCGGAACACCGGCAAAATCAGGTCAACAAACTTGGCTACGCGGAGACTTTCAACTCTTCGGAGGTTGAGGTGGCCGCTTCTTCATCCGGAAGAGCTCTCCTTAGAGCCGAAATCAGTAAGCTGTAGCTGCGGTACAGCTACATTAGTTCCGCTGCAAAGTCAGATTTTTTGTGTTGTCTGTTTGGGCCCTGGATTCCTACAAAGCACATGAGCTCACGCAGTGAGGCCTTACAGCAGTAGCTGCTGCCCCAAAAAAGGGGAGAAGACATGGGGAGGCAGCTCGGAACTAGAGTTACAGTTAGCATATTGGAGTCGGCAATTGAATTAGTTACAGAAGCTCCATATCAGCT